GGGGGTTGGGGAGAGGTCTGGGGGGGCGGGGTCATCTGGAAGGGGTCAGGGGAAGTGAAGGGTGGGGGAAGGTCTGGGGGTGGGGGAGAGGTCTGGGGGCGGGGTCATCTGGTTGGGGTCAGGGGAAGGGGGGGGGAGGTCTGGGGGCGAGAGTGTGAACCCAGGTTGGGGCTCGGGCCACTGGGAAGTCTCAGGGGCCCCATGAAAGGTTTTGGAACCCCTTGGGACTTGGGTTGGTGGGGGATCAGAGGTCAGTCTTGGTCCTTCGTTGCTAGGCAGACATAGGTCAGACTCATGAAAACACTGCTCAGTGGGCAAGTGAGTTTAAAAATCTGAGCTGGGTGGGTGGGTGTGGGGTTTTGGGTGGTGTGCTGGATCACTGGAGAATTAGGTGAGAGCCGTTTATCTCTGAGAAGTATAAATGGGTATGCGGCTCCTGGGGAGTTCCCTTACTCTATTGTCGTTTAAATTTTAAGGTTTTAAATTTAATTTTTAAACTCTAGCAGAAACACCCCAACCTCCACTGGTGCTCTCCTCTCAGGTCCAGGTCTGAGCCCAGCGCTCCCTCCCCCTCGGTGAGTCCCTGGGAGCCTCCATCTCGGGCGCCCACTCCTGGTGTGGCCTGGCCCCAGGCTGAGGCCCCGGCTCTTCTCCTGTGGTTTGGGGTCCCTAGTCTAATGCAGCAGCTGCTGCCCTGGTGCGGACTTTTTGGGCCTGGAGCAGCAAGAAGGCGGCTCCTTTCTACCCAGGTCTGTCCTTGCTTTGGAATTCACGCCCAGACCCACGTCCCCCACCATCTACTGGAACGTGGCTTTCATTCTCCGTAACTTGTCCTGAATCTTCCGAGAATGCTTCTCGCTGGTGATCTGGTGGAAGTTGGCCCTGTTGTCTGCTGCTAAAATGGAAATGTCGGCTCCGCTGAAACGGGCGATTCTTTGCTTGAGGTGAGACTGCAGCTTGGGGTCGGGGGCGAAGGTGTAGGGGTTCTCCTGGAATGCGTGGACCTGACTCACCACCTTGGCTATGTTTCTGTGTTGGAGGGAAAGAAATCAAACGTTAGTTTGCACAAGTCACAAAGAGCAGTGTCCTGTGGCCAGTGAATTCATAGGTGCTCTCAGGAATTGTCTAAACCAAACCTCTTCAAAGTACAGATGCTGAGGGGTGAGAGTTCTGTATTTATGCACAAGGCCAGACCTCTTTTCATCACCCAGGCCTGTTTGTCCACTCCTCCGTCTGTCCGTCCACTTTTCATTCCACAAATATTTACTGAAAATCTATGTTGGGCCCTGGTTGGTGGTAAGGACTCCAGCATGAATAAAACCCAGCGTCAGTTGCTGGGGCACACGGGAGAGGAAAATGAGGTGGACGCGGGGTCATTTAAGGGGCGCGTTCTGTGGCTGCTGGGCACACATTTCTCCCCAGTGCCGTGGTCAGTTACGTCACAATAGCAGCTCCAGAGCGGCCACTGTGGGAGTATTTACACCCCGGGAATTGGCCTGGGCTGTGACCTAGGGTTTGTTTGCCGGAGAGCCGGAAGTTAAACAGCAACCACACGCCCCTGGGTGTCATCTGGGCAAAGTGGGAGCTCAGAGTCTAAAGTCCTTCATTCTGTCTGGGGCTCTATAGACAGATATTCCCATCCTGATTTTGGATGAGAAGCAGTATGTCCAGTCTGAATGATTTCACTGTTTTTTTCGGTGAGGCAGATTGGCCCTGAGCTAACATCTGTGCCCATCTCCCTCTATATTGTATGTGGGACACCACCACAGCATGGCTTGACGAGAGGTCCGTAGGCCGGAGCCCGGGATCCGAACCTGCGAACCCTGGGCTGCCAAAGCAGAGCATGTGAACTTAACCACTACGCCACGTGGCCGACCCCATGATTTCACTGTTAATTAAAAACAAACACATACGTCCGTGCACAATAAACAGGCAGGAGCAGCAAACACTGCTCAGCCCGTGCTCCTAATGAGCGTGGACACCCTTTGGTATCTAGTTTCCATTTTGCCGACATGGATTAGTGTGCATTGCGGGGTCTCTTAAATACTGCTTTTAAACTGGTGACTGGAAAGGTCTTGCACGTAGCAGGTTGGAACCACTGGGCTCCAGGTCCCCGGGCTGTGTTTGCTGTCTGCCCTTGACCTCGAGGAATATGTAGCTGGGCTGTGGCTTGACCAGGCTCCACGCGACTGCCCGTGTGTACAATGGAGAGGAGAGGCGGGAAAGAACGGGTGGGATGAGGGTCCTCTTGCAGACAGGCTGCCCTGGATCCTGAGAGAATCCAGGGGCGGCTGGAACATGGACCTGGAGCTCCATGGGAGGTGGGGGGGGGCTGGAGGTGGGGCTCAAAGGGCAGCCTGCGCCTTCCCGGGGGAATGAGCAGTGAGTCTCTGGCCGGGGTCACAGTGGTGGTTTTCACGAGCATCCCCCACCGTCTGTGCCTTCTGGGTGGGTCCCCGGGTGTGCGGGTCCCTGGGTGGGCTGGGTCCCCGGGTGCGTGGGTCCCCAGGTGTGTGGGTGCCCAGGTGGGCCGGGTAGGTGAAGGGTGGGACTGCAGGAGCAGGCTGAGGACTGACCATGAGTCCTCTGCAGATGGCTCTAGGGAGAGGGGCCCAAGGGGTCGCTGGAGGCAGGGAGAGAGGGAAAATGTGACATCCAGGGTCAGGGAAGGTGGTTGCACGGAGGTAGGGTTCAGAGTGGGCCTGAATCTCCCAACAGGAAGGTCACAGTGACCTTGGGACAGCGTTTGGGACCACGGATGCCAGAAGTGTGGGAAACGCTTGCACTAAGTTTCTGGAAAAGGAGGTGGCAGAAGGTCACCTGGTATGGAGGGTGCAGAGGCCCGGGGCTGGGGTGAGGGCTCAGCGATGGGCGGGGCCCAGGCCTCAGAGGAGCAGGAGGATGGGGCAGGCCCCTCACCTGAGCTTGCTCCACCTGTGGGCCCCGTTGGTCATGGTGAAGCCACCAGTCTCCAGCTGCTGGATGTGCATGGCCAGGAGGCGGGCTGAGGGCAGGGTGGGCTGGGCCCGGAAGCGCCGCCCTTCCATCAGACACAGGCTGTCGCTCTTCAGGAAGACCTGGGGGCCCAGCCGGGGGTGGGGGGGGAGACAGGGGAGAGCTCAGTCCAGGGCACTCAGCCCGACCAATCCCGGTTGGTGCCTGTATTCCTGCTGCATGGGGGCTACACCTTGGATTACTGGATTGGGGGCCGAAAGTCCAGATATCCTAAGCTTGCAGACACGACACAAAAGGAGCACTGACACCATCAGAAAGCTGTACACTTCCTGCTCCTGAAATGGCAATCCTTTCCTAAGCTATTCTCCGCCGGCCTCCAGAGAAGAGCCCGGTAACCCAACTGCCCGAATGAGACCAACACCCGGGGTGGCCAGCAGCGGGCCTGCCCGAGCGGCTGCTGCGGTCCGTTCCTGTGCCTTATTCGTGGAAGATGCCCCATCATTCCAGTGTTTCCTCACTTGTGATCACTTGAGGCCCCCTCTGCACTTTGCCAGGCAGCCACGCTCAGGCCGGCCTCAGACCTTCTGGTCCTCTGGGCATCTGTAGCCTGTGCCCCTGGCCCAGCGGGCCGGGCTCCTGGAGAGAGGCCCTGTGGGGAGACAGGCAAGGCCACCCCAGCCATGCACAACTGTGAGGGCGCCTTGTGGCCTCTGGGCCATGAGGCAGGCTCTGCTGCGTGAGGTGTGCGGAGTGCATTGTGAGGTAGAAGCCCCGGGTGGACACAAGTTGCTGGAAGCCCCTGCGAAGCACGAGTACCTCCACAGCTTTCAGCTCCTCCATGACCTCCGCTACCTTTGCGGGTAAAATTCTCCAGGCCTAAAATAAAAGCAGAGGTGAAGGCCCTGCGGCCGTGCGGGGCCCACATGTGTGCACAGGCCCTGCCCTCCGGGGGACTCACAGGGGACTGCCTCACGGCCAGGTGCTCCAGGCCACCCAGGATCTGCATGGCCGTCGCAAAGTTCCTCTGCTCATAGCAGGATTTCGCAATCAGCAAAAATTTGGACAGCAAATTCACCTGCAACTGAAACGAGAAAACAACGCATTCATTGTCTTCCAGTTTAAGACGAACAAATAGAGAACATTCTGGGACCTGTTAAATAACCCAGTGTCGGGGCACAGAACAGCGTGAGCCCCACCTTCTGCGCATGGAGGAGGCTGGCAGGGGGGCTCAGGCCTCGGAGGGGTGGCCGTGGGGGGCTGGGCAGGAGGATGGGTGTTACGTGAAAAAACAAAACAAAAAGGCAAGTACCACGAGCATAAAGAGAGAAAGAAGTCGCCCTTGCTTCTCAAAAGCAAAGCATTTGTGGGACAAACCTCTGTGCCAGAAGTGGGACAAATGGTGGAGGGGCAAATCTTCAGGACCAGAAAGGGCACCCCCGTGTGGAAGATGGAGCCGATGTGTCCAGAAGCAAACAGGGAACAAACGGGCAGCTTCTCATTGTCCACTCGGCTAGAGCCTACTTCAGGACAGGGTTTCAGCACCTGACTGGGGATTTGGTCCCATGCGGGCCCACGGCTTCCTCCACGGTTCGCTGGTCAGCAGCAGCAGAGTCACCAGATTTGATGGGAACACCTCCTGTGCAGCATGTGCTGCATCCAGTGAGATTCTCATTCCTAACGGGCCACGCCACTTCAGAGCAGACCTGAGGGGCAGAGTTCATGAACCCACGGATAGCACTTGAATTTCACACAATTCCAGAGACTCCTAGAAGATTCCGGAGAATTCAGCTGATCCTTCCTTTCAGAGCGACCTCACCCTGAGGACTGTCACCATGGCCAGGGCTATCCTTCAGGTGAGAACAGCACCTGTAGGTTCCAACCAGATGCCCTTCCGCTGGGCTTGACCCTTGTCTGCAGTGATTCTGATGCAATTGAAGGTTGCACGGATGGGCCCCTGGAGGTCGTTCACCATTGTGCCTTCCCAGCTCTCTGGCTTGAGTGCCTTTTAAAGAATCTTGGAAAACATTTACCCACTCTTTTTAAGTTGATATCTCAATTTTTTCTTCATAGTTTAAATAGATGCAAAGTATGTAATTTCCAGCACTTTCAGAGAAAACTGTTCCATCACTGTTAAGTATACCTCACATGAGTGGAATCACACAGGATTTGTCCTTCTGTGACTGGCTTATTTCACTCAGCATAATGTCCTCCAGGTTCATCCATGTTGTAGCATGTGACATGATTTTGTTCCTTTTTAAGGCTGAATAATATTCCATTACATGTACACTACATTTTGTTTCTCCATTTACCCATTGATGGATATTTGGGTTGCCTCTTCCTCTTGGCTGTTGTTTTCCATCCCTTTTAAACTTATCTGATGAAATCAAAATCCTGTTTTGCTTTCTAACCCACCATTATTCATCTAAAAAAAGACAACAAACTTTTCTTTAAGGTGAGGAAGCTTGCACTGTTTCTTTTTCTTCTTGACCTTGTATTTCCACCCCTAGGCTATCACCCGAATGGAATGAACTCTTATCCCCGACGGCATTTATTGTCTGCCCCTTACATTCTCTGCCTCAAATTTTGAACATTAACAATTTTCTGTGACCACAGTTTACAAATGTAAAAGTCAGTCTTCTGGATTGTTCAGACATTACAGTAAGTAACACACAATACATGAAACAACATATATTTCAGAATGTGATAAGCACATTTGTTAAAGGTACACATGCAGTTTTATTAGAAACGTGTCTCCTGATGAGATGCACCCGGCTCTTTTTCTCGTCGATTCCATGTCACGATGAGCATTGCTGGTTTGAACAATTCTATTTCTGTCTTTTGCTTACAGGGATGTAGGAGCCTGTTCACGGTAATGGAAGGAGTTTTGCCACAGCAAAGCCATCAGTTCCTTCCACCATTCCAGGCTGGGTGCTGACATGCTGGCTGTGTCTGCAGATCTGCTCCGTCATGCTGACCGCACGGGCCTGGAAATGCGCCACACCCCTGGTGTTGAGCCGTCAGGAAGGGCACCTGCAGACTCAGAACGGGAAGCCCATCCTCTCTCAGGCTGGGAGCAGGCCTGTACTCCCTGTCCTTGGGGGCTCAGATTTAGGAATGTTCCCGGGAAGAAGAGGTCTGTGAAGTGAGCGTCGATCGTCCTTGTTCATGTCCCCTTGGAAGGTCCTTGCGAAGCCCAACCACACAGGCCCCTATTCAAAGACCCTGACTGGGGGAGCTACATTTTGATGTCACTTGTGATATTCATAACGTTGTGGATTAAAACAAACTGGAGAAGCCCAGCCTCCCTGTTCCCACGTCTTGGCAGAAGTGAGGATGGGGCGGTTTGTTGGCTAATAAACTCCTAAAGCTCGAAAATTCTCCCCAGAGGGGGAAACAGCAGAAAACTCTGCATTTGTTAACAGCTCTTGGGTTTGCCCCATGGGATTTGGGAGGACACAAAGGAATATTTGAAAAGGGAAAACAAATTTTAGAGGCTGTTAATACCAGGAATGGACATATCCTGGCTTCGTCATCTGATGGGGAGGAGGTGGCCTCAGTGGGCTCTGAGGCAGCTCCTGGGGCAGAACAATGATGTTCCCCCAACCCCCAAGCTCTCCTCAGTGCACTCAGCCCACTCAAGGGGCAGTGGTGGTGGGGTTCGTGCCTGGGGAGCCCTATTATTTGGGCTGGAGTTTGCTTTAAGGGAGCTGCTGCCTGGGAGGCAGTGGGCATCCACCTGCAAGACGGGGCTGCATGACACAGGAGGAGCCCTGTGGTCCCAACAGTCGCTTCTGTGCTTGTCAATGTGGCCGCCTCATATGGGCAGGACCCTGGTGACCCCCACCCGGCTGCTGGCCTCAGGTAGGGAGGAAATCAGAGGCCTTGGCAATAGGGTGCTCCCTGGGCAGAGGTACAGACGCCCCAGGGACTTGAGGGGGCTCTGTCCTTCCTCAACCCCTCCTGAGTGGGTGGGAACCTGAATGGAAGTGTTGGCCCTGAGGCAGGTGACTGTCCCTCTTGGCCTGCCCAGTGCACTGTCTGAAGCAGATGGGTCAGTTCAGGCTGAGATACCCACAGTCCAGCCCTAGACCCACAGGACCTAGAAGAGACTGGGCCTTGGCCTGGGAATAGGGAGCTTGACCTGGACTGGACTGCTGACGTGTGTTTCATTTAGTCCACAAACTGGCTGAGGACACAAAATGTGCTGCCTGCAGGGGATGTGACAGTGACCAAACTGATCCCTACCCTCAAAGAGTTTAGGTTAGTGGAACAGTTGGGAGTCACAATTCCCAGCCCTGGGACACAGCTCAGGCAGGGGTGTGGAGGGAGCTCCTAGGGGGAGTGTACTCTGATTGGACCCTGAGCGTGTGTCTGAGAGTCTGTTAGGAGTTGTGTGTGTGTGAGGAGAATGGTGTGAGTGTGTGTGTGAGGTGCCTGTGTGTGAGAGAGGGACACTGTGCATGTGTCTGTGTGTGTGACTGTGTGTGAGGGACAGTGTATAAAAGGGACTCTGTGTGAAGGACTGATTGAAAAAATGTGTGTGAGAAGGATTGAGTGTGCAAAAGACTGTGTGTGAGAGGGACTGTGTGTGAAGGATGTGTCTGTGAGAGAGACTGTCTAAAAGGACTGTGGGTGAGAGTGACTGTGTTAGAGGGATGGTGTGTGTATGAGGGAATTGGTGTGAGAGGGACTATGTGTGAGAGACATTGTGTATGAAAGGGATTGTGTGTGTGAGAGTGATGTGTGTGGGAGACTGTGTGAGGGACTGTGTATGTGAAGGTCTGTGTGTGGGGGGTTGTGAGAACTGTGTGTGAGAGGCATTGTGCATATGAGAGGGACTGAGTGTATGAGAAGGACTGTTGTGAGTCTGTGTGTGAGAGGGACTGTGGGTGTGAGGAATGTATGTTTGAGAGACTGAGTGTGAGGATCTGTGTATGTGAGGGACCGTGTATGGGAGGGGCTGAGTGTGAGAAGGATTGTGTGTGTGAGGGACTGTGTGAAGAACTGCATGGGCCGGCCCTGTGGCTTGGCGGTTAAGTGCGTGCTCTCTGATGCTGGTGGCCCGGGTTCGGATCCCGGGCACGCACCGACGTGCCGCTTCTCCGGCCACGCTGAGGCCGTGTCCCACATACGGCAACTAGAAGACTGTGCAACTATGGCATGCAGCTATCTACTGGGGCTTTGGGGCGAAAATAAATAAATAAATCTTTAAAAAAAAAGAACTGCATGTGTGAGAGACTGTGTAGGAGGGACTGTGAGAGGGACTGTGTTTTAAAGGGAATGAGTGAGAAGGACTGTGTGAGACGGACTGTGTGTGTGAAAGGGACTGTGTGTAATGGATTATGTGTGAGAGGTAATATGTATGAGAGAAAAACTGTGTATGTTGGAAACTCTGTGTGTGAGAGGGACAGTGTGTGTAAAAGGTACTGTGTATGAGAGGGACTGTGGTGGTGAGGGACTGTGTGTGAGAGGAACTATGTGTAGGAGATGGACTATGTCTGTGAGGGACTGTGTTGTGAGAGGGACAGTGTATGAGAAAGGCTGTGTGTGTGAGGGACTGAGGAGGGAATGTGTGTGAGAGAATCTGTGAGAGAGAATGTGTGTATAAAAGGGACTGTGGTTGTGAGGAGGACCGTGTGTGACATAAACTGTATTTGAGGGACTGTGAGGACTGTTTGTGTCAGGGACTCTGTGTAAGAGGGACTGTGTGCATGGGGACTTGATGAGACGGAAAGTATGTCAGGGAATGTGTGTGGAGAAGGTATGTGTGTGTGAGAGGGACTATGTGTGCTTGAGGGACTGTGTTAAAGGGACTGTGTTTGTGAGAAGGACTGTGTCAGAGAAAACCTATGCGTTTGAGAAATTCTGTTTGTGTGGGGAATTGCATGTGAGAGAGGGATGCGTGTGTGAAGGACTTTGTGAGAAGAACTGTGAGTGAAACAGGGACTGTGTGGGAGAGACTTTATGTGTGAGAGGGAATGTGTGTGTGTGTGAAAGACTCTGAGACTGTGTTTGAGAAGGACTGTGTGTGATAGGAATTATGTGAGAGGGACTGTGTGTGACAGGGGCTGTATGTGAGGGATGTGTGTGTGCGAGGAACTATATGTGAGGGACTATATGTGAGGGACTATGTGTGTGAGGGATGTGTCTGAGGGACTACTGTGAAAGGGACTTTATGTGTGAGAATGTCTGTTTGTGAGAGGGCGTATGTGTGTGAAAGACTATGGATGAGACTGACTACGCTTGAGAAGGATTGTGTGAGAGGGACTGTGTGTGAAAGGGACTGTGTGTGTCAGGGAGTGTAAATGAGAAGGACAGTTTGTGAGAGACACTGTGTCTGTGAAAGGGAATGTGTGATAGGGAGTGTGTGTGAGAGGCACCATGTGTGAGAGGAACTATGTGCATGAGGGACTGTGTGTGAGAGACTTTGTGTGAGGGAATGTGTATCAGGGAATGTAAGTGAGGTGTGTGTGTGAGGAGAAGTGTATGTGTATGAGAGGAAGTGTGAGCGAGACGGGCTGTATTTGAGAAAGGGACTGTGTGTGAGAGGAACTCTACGTGTGATATATGTGTGTGAGGGACTGTGAGAGGGACTGTGTGTGTTAGAAGGACTGTGTGTGACAAGAACTCTTTGTGATAGGGACTGTGTTTGTGAGGGCCTGTGTATGTGAGGGCCTGTGTGTGAGAAACTGTGTGTGAGAGGGACTACGTTTTGAGAGGGATATGAATGTGTGAGGAACTATGTGTGTGTGAGCGACTGTGTGTCTGACGGACTATGTATGAGGTAATATGTGCGACAGAGGAACTGTGTGAGTGAGTGTGTGTGAGAGATTGTATTGGAGGGACTGTTGAGAGGGACTGTGTGTGTGTGTGTAGGACTGTGTGAGAGGGACTGTGTGTGCAAGGGACTGTGTGTGACTGTTTCTGAGGGAATGTATGTGAGAGGGTTTGTGTTTAGGAGACAACGCGTGTGTGTGTGTGTGTGTGTGTGAGGGACTATATGTACGAAGGACTGTGTTAGAGGGACTGTGTGTGAGAAGGACAGCATTTGTGAGGGACTGTATGTGTGAGGACTGTTTATGAGAGGGACTATTGTGAGAGAAAGACTGTGTGAGAGAGACTGTGAAAGGGACTGTGACTGTGAGAGGGACTGTGTGTGTGACAGAGACTGTGTGTGTGAGAGAGTCTGCATATGAAGAGGGACTGTGTGTGACGGACTCACGGTCACTCTGTGTGTGAGTGACTGCATTTTTGAGGGACTGACTGAGGGACTGTGACAGGGATTGTTTGTAACGAACTGTGTGTGAGAGGGAATGTGTGTGTGTGTAAGAAGAACTTTGCATGAGGGACTGTGTGTGAGAGAGAAACCGCATTTGAGGGGCTGTATGAGTGAGTGACTGTGTTTAAGAGGGACTGTGTATGTGAGAGTGACTGTGAGTGTGAAAGACTGTGAGAAGGAATGGGTGTGTGATAGGGACTGTGTGAGAGAGACTGTGTGTGTGAGAGACTGTGTGCGTCAGGTGTTGTGTGTGATAGGGACTGTGTGTGAGAGGTACTTGGTGTGTCAGGGGCTGTGTGTGAGGATGTGTGTTTGAGAAGGGACTGTGTGTGAGGGACAGTTTTTATGAGGGTCTCTGTGTGTTAAAGGGACTATGTGTGTGAGAGCAAAGTGTGTGTGAGGGACTGTGAGGGATTTGTGAGAGGGAGTGTGTGAAAATGAGTGTGAGTGATGGTGTGTACATATGAGAGCATATGCACATGTGTGAGACTGTGTGCACACACACGTGTAAAGACTCCACGATGACAGAGGGTTCTCATGGTAGTCCAGAGCCAATGTGCACTCCCCAATAGAGTGAAGAGCCATGCCAGGCTGGGGGTGTGACAGGCGGTGTGTGTTGCAGAGCTGGATGGCGTGTCTGATATTACTGCTGACTAAAGCTGTGGTGCTGCTTTTACCCTTTGCCCTGCTTGGGTCCTTGGATTCCATGCACTTGGAGAACCTAACAACTGGGATTCCACAGGAGGTGCCGCTCGCCCCATGCAGTTGTACCCCAAACCCTGCTCTGAGATCAGAGGTGCTGAGGCACCAACCTTGGAGGTGTGGCTGGTCACAATTTCAGCAGCCACCCAGGTGCTGACGTCGTCTGCACTTCTTAAAAGCTGTAATAGGTACTTGTCCTGGACGTAGTTGGGAAGAAATAAGCTGCAGCTTTTGGCCGACAGAGACTCGGAGGAGCTGGCTCTGGAAGAGACACAGGTGCACATCACAGTGAGGGCGGGCGCAGGTGGCCCTCCAGGCCCTGAGGCTGCAGAGGGCTCTCCAGATCCAGGTGGCCCAGCAGGTCGGGCTCTGCAGAGTGGGGAGGGTCTGGCTCCAAAGTCGTTCATGACACCAGCATCTCCCTTCAGCCCAGAGTGTCCATGAGACACCTAGGCGAAGCCCCTAAGACCCTCCTGCCAACCACCCATCCCAGAACTCCGGGGCAGACACCCCGCAGCGGACACTCACTTGGGAATGGCCACACTTTTGTCCATGACGCCCAGGGCTCGTGAGTTTAAGAAGTGGACAGGATGGCACTTTTGAAACAATTCCTGCAGGAGACAAGGAGACAGACATTCAGGGCACCTTCCCCAGGGGGTCTCCTGGTCAAGGCAGCGTCCCTGGGGGCTGGGGGTGATGGGGGGGGCATCTCTGAAGTCACAGGTTCAACGCCTGCCCAGGGTGCTGCAGGGCTGGGCCCCTGTGGGACTCCTGACGTCTGTCCAGTCATGATCACTGGGTCGCTGTCACCTGCCAAGTGACACGGGGCCTCAGGATGGCGGGGGGCCTGGGAAGGGGATGCCTGGGGGCTGCGCTTGGGACGGGACCAGAGGGGCCTGCCTGAGCCCTGGTGGGTGCCCAGCTCCAAGATGGAGGAGGCCCATGCCCCATGGTGGCCTGCAGAGCGCCCTCTAATGCTCACGAGTGGGAGTGTCAGGGTCCTGTGGACGGCAGGCTCTTTGTGCCCTGTGTGGGACGGGAGCCCAAGCCCCTCCTGGGGCCTCCCCTGGGCCTGAGCATCAGCAACTGGCCCCATTCACTGCCCGTCCGTGTGTCCTTCCACCAAACATCTGTTCAGGGCCCGTGAGTGCCACAGTGTCCCTCCCTTAGATGCCCCCTCGCCCTCCAGCCTGGGGCCTGCTGCCCACTAGACCAGCTGGGCCGAGTGGCCCCTCTCACCTGCTGCATCAGTGTCAGCTGGCTGAAGAGCTGGTGGGTGCTGTACTCCGTCAGGAAGTAGGGCCCTTTCTCACCGGCCTTGGCATAGGGGCCGCAGAAGTCCTCAAAGAAGCAGGGCTTGGGCAGGGCGGATGCAATGGTGTACTGGCGCTCCTTGTGGTGTGGCAGTGCCAGCCCGTTGCTGCGGGACAGCCTCCAGGGGAAGCTCTGCAGGGCAAGGCCAGGCAGCGCTGGGGGTGGGGACAGGGGTGGCAGAGGACCCAAGCCCTCCAGGCCCAGGACCCTTCAGACTGACTCAGCTAGAGCCACAGGGCAAATCCCCCCTGCCCGCGGCCATGTTGGCTTGAGGACACCTGCTGTCATTTCAGTAGCTCTCCCATGGACAGAGCCGCTGAAATTGGGGGCTGTCCCCATATATTATGGAAAGTTCCCCTCAAACTCCACCCCCATCACAGGCCATTTCCTGACAGTGGTTTCTTCCACGCAGACCTCTGGCTGGAGGGTCAGGTAGGTGAGGTCATCTGAGTGCCTGGCCGGACCCCTCTGCTGTCCTTGCCCAGGGCGAGGGGGAGACAGGAAGTGCCAGCCCCAGAGGGCTGGTGTCCAGGACTGGCAACACGGGGAGCACGTGTGTGTGCTCGTGTGCACTTGCACGTGTGCATGCACACAAATGTTCACGCATGTGCATGACGGGTGAGCACGTGCGAATGTGCGTGCATGTTCGTGTGTGTGCCTGAGTGTGCGTGTACATGTGTGAGTGTGCACTCGCTTGCTGGGTCCTGAAGGCTGAGCTCAGGGATGGGCACCTGCCTGCCCTGGGAGGCCCTCCCTTGGGAAAGGCCCCCACCTTCCGGGAGATTCCATCTTCTGAGAGCCTCTTACAGAGGGCATTGAGGGGTCTGGTGTCCTCCTCAGCCTCCTTGGGGTCCTCCAGGTCTGTGCCTCGTGGGGCACCCTCGGCCCTCCGGTCCATGCCCACTTCCAGGAGGCCCAACAGGTGCTCTGCAGAGCCATCCAGGGGCAGGATCTGGGCAGAAGCACAGGGCGGTCACTGCCACCTCCCGGACAGGGGAGGTGGCTCCTACTCCCCCAGTGTGCCCTCGGGGGTGCAGGGGCCGCCTGCTCTGCCCAGTGGTCACCTTGGAGGAGATGAAGTCCTCGAGCCTCCCCAGGAGCCCGGTGTTCCTCATGAAGTCCACTGTGTAGCAGTCTTCCACCCAGGCCTGCAGGAGGCAGAAGCTCCGCTTGTAGATCTTGGTGAAGGTCGAGGTGGGGTCCTGGTGGGCCCTGGAGGCAGAAGGGAAGAGGCCTGAACTGTGCAGGATCCCCTGCCAGCATCAAGAGGCCTGTCTGCTGCCAGGAGGGCCCAGCACAGGCAGGCGTCTTGCCCGGGGTCACGCCGACAAGCAAAGGAGCGTGCGTGGGATTTGAATGCTGCTCTTCCTTTGAGCGGGTATTTCACCCCCACCCTGCTTGCCTGGGGACAGAGGAGAGAGGCAGCATCTCGGGGCAGGGGCCTGCTGCCTCTCCTCTACCCCACCTGTGCCCTGTCCTGGAGCACCTGCCACCCCACGGCGCAAGGGGGACCAGGAAGCAGCGTGCAGGGCCTCTGAGAGGCAGGAGGGGAGCCCGGCTCCATATGTGGAGGGAGCAGGGGAATGGGGTCTCCTGCGAGGCCCTCTCCCCCAAGGAGGGAGCTGACGCTGATGGCCTGAGGCTGCCGGGGGCTCCCAGGCTGGGCGTGAGGGCAGGCCTGGTGAGAGTGGTGCATGGGGGTGTGGGACAGCCAGCTCAGAGAACAGGCCGGAGTGTGTCCAGCCACTGCCCACTACCCCTTCCCCCACCAGCCCTCGGGCAGGACCCTCCTCCCGCCTTGCGGCTTGGTGCTCATCCTCTGACTCCCACCTGTGCCTGCCCCCACAGTTTGCCTTCCCCACCCCTGCCCCCTCCATGGGCATCAGCCACCTCTCCAGGCCACCGTCCCCTCCTGCACCTGCTGGCTCCTTTCTCTGCGCCACCCTGTCCTCGCCTCAACCTTCAGCTGGGCTCCGCCATCGTCCTTGTCAGGGTCATAGGGACTCCTTGCCCTTCACAGCACAAGGAGGCGCCCCGGGGTCCACCCTGCGGCTGTGTCGCCCCCTGCAGGGCCTGGGACGTGGAGCTGAGAGGCTGCGGCCTACCTGCACAGGGTGCTGCTGATGCGGTCGAGGAGGAAGTGCAGGAAGTCCTGGGGCGTGCAGAAGTAGCGGAAGGTGTACAGGAACTGCTGCACGTAACCCTCCAGGAAGGCGTCGCTGGGGCAAGGGAGGCAGTGAGACCACAGCCCGGCCTCGCGGCCAGTCCCGGGGTCCCGGGAGGCCTCTCCTCTCCACCCGACCCTACCTGTGCTTCAGGTAAGGGGGGAGGCCTGGCTCCCCTCAGCCTTCATTAGCAGTTCTGGGGCAGATATGTGAGAGAGTGTGTGTGTGAATCCTGAGCGCGTGAGCATGAATGAGTGTGAGGTGTGAATGTGTGTGCGAGTGTGTGTGTGAATCCTGAGTGTGTGAGCGTGAATCAGTGTGAGGAGTGAATGTGTGTGTGTGTACGTGGGTGCCCCTTGCTGGGATGGGGCAGGCAGGAGACCCACTGGAGAAGTGAAAGGTGTGTGTGGGCACTGAAAACATCAGAATTTCCCAACTATTTCCAGTGTGAGGACCTTTTCTTAACATCACGTTTTAAGGCCCCTCACTGTGAGCATCTCCTTTCAGAACCTTTTAATTAAGAAAACTGCTGTGCACAGGCCGTGACCCCGGCCCCTGAGCCCGCAATCACTGCATTTGGAAAGAGAAGTGACAATTTGTGCCCCAAACTTCTTGGTTTTGTTAGGGTGAAACCAGGGAGATGGGGGGGCCCTCTCCTTCGCCGAGCATCCCCCATCCTCAGTCACAAGGGTTGGGAGTGAGAAAGAAAAGTGGGGGGTCCTGGCAAGGCCCCCTCCCTACCCCTGGGAGGAGGAGCTCTAGGGTGGGGACATCGCATCCTAAGAATGAGGGAACCAGTCACCTGGTCAGCCTGGGGCCTCTGTGGGCTGGGGACGCTGTGGCCAGACTCAGGCCAGGGACTAAGCAGCCACCAGCCCAGCCTGCCCTGCAAAGGGATGCCCACAGGGTCTGTGGAGATGAGCCTCTCCCCTGGTTGGAGATGGTGTGTGCACACACGTCATACACAACACTCCACGTGATACCCCCCAATACACACACCACTCACATCATACACATACCACATGCACACACGTGTCCTGTAACAGCCCAGCGGGCCGCCGGTGGGTGTGCGATGCACACATCTTACAGAGGAGGACGCTGAGGCCTGAGTCTGAGGGTTGGCATGGAGTCCCTGGCCGGCAGGAGGCCCCCAGCACGACCAGGCGCAGCCCACCTCGGGAGAACGGGGTGCGTAGGAAGAGGCAGCTGTCCGGGAGGACCGCCCTGCTCCCCTCGGCCCCTGAGAGCCCTCGTCCCCTGACAGCCTTCCTCGGTGTCTCCTGTTCATACCTGGCCATTAGTTCTGGGGTCACTACAGCCTCCAGCTCACAGAAGACCCCAGAGGCTCCAAAATGGTGTCACGAGTCCCCAGAAGCCCAGATTGGGGTGAGGCCTCCACCACTGCCTGGGAAGTTGGTCTGTGCCCAACCCTGGCCCACCGGGCCCCATGCCCAGGAGTGGGCCAGGCCACTGGGTCAAGGGAGCCTGTGGGTCCTGTGTCTGAGAACCACGACCTGGGGCCACGTTGATGGTCAGGGCGGGCACACCTGAGACCCAGACGCTCAGGACCACAGGTGCGCATCTGGCGGAGCCTGCGGCTACTCAGGCCAGGAGCTCCGTGAGGGAGCCACGTGGCGCCTAACACAAGGCAACTTAGAACTCCGATGAAAATTTTTTCTCAGTTAAAAAAATGTGCAACCCCTCAGATGAGGGAAGGTGGAAACTTTTCCCACCCCTTCACCTCCTCGGGGCCTATTTCTTTCTTTGCTTTTCCTTTTGGCTCTCAAAAGGCCTGAGGAGGACAGGGGAGCCACAGCCCGCCCCTCCCGCAGGGTGCGGCCGTACCTGGAGTAGAGGTACGCCATGAGCCCCAGTGGCGTGCCGGCCTGCAGGACGCGGGCCTTCTTCCGTCTGCTGCCCTGCGGGTGCTTGCTGACATTGTAGAAGATGAGGGACGAGGACTCGTCCAGGGGGCTGAAGTCCAGCGTGTCACAGTGGGCCGCCGCGATGTTCACGATCACGGGCAGGGCGCAGGGCTCAAGGCCCCACCGCTCTGCGTACATGACCTGGGGGGGGCAGTGAGTCGCCGCTGCCTAGTTGACCCGCTGCCACCAGGAGTGTATGGGGCATGTGTGCCCCGCCACCCTGCCACTGACCTAGGGGGTGACACAGCTTGTGGCCCTTCTACAATCAGGTATGTTTTTACAACTTTTAAGGTGTGCTGATTTCCAAGGTTCTAACGGCAGGAAAACCCACGGAGCGTTAAGGCCTCGGGAGGGAGGGGAGCAGAATGCAGACTTGCCTGGAGGTACTTCTTGACCAGTCCCAGGAACTGGACCTTGGCCTTCATTTCTTCCAGCTGCCCTTTCAATTTGGACAACATGGTCTTCACCTCGGAGCCTGGGGGCAGGGCAGAGTTAGCACAGGGTGGCCCCCGACCCCGTGCTCCGGCACGCGGACCCCGACGCTACCTTTACTCCGCTTCTCCTTCTGTGAGAGCTTCTGGTAGAACTTCAGAGTCTTCCGGTAGTTTCTTTTCTCTATCACGAGCTGCTGCTCCAGCTCCTGGTGAGGAGAGAGCTCATGAGCCCAGGGCTGCGCCCTCCGTCTGCAGGACCACTCGGAACACGCTTCCCCCTTGTCCCAGAGTGCGTGTTTCACCAGGGCTCACACAACATGAAAACACGGAACACACGTGAGCACGTGAGGACACGTGTGGTTCATAGGAGTTCTTCAGAGGAAAGCCTCTGCAGCGACAGAACGAATACATGTGTGAGCAGACGGGGTCAGAAGCCCCGCTTTCCTTGACCCCAGGAGGAAGCAAGGAACCAAGGCACAAAGACAAGTAAGTAAACATCTCAGTAAACTGGTATTTGGAAGGAAGTAGATTTGAAAACCCGCTTAAAAAAATGAGGCCAAAAAGAGTGAGACAGCTGATGGAATATCACCATTATTGACCGCCCCCCAAGGATGCCAGGCCCCCAGCAGTCCCCCAGGATGGGAAGTCGGGTGAGGAGTGGGGCTCGGATCTGTCCCCTGGGTCCCATCCCCGTCCTTGGGGAGCCTGCCCTTCTAGAGAGTTCTCCAGACACCCCGGGGTGGGGTCCACTCGGCAAGCAGTGGCTATCAGTCCTGTGCGCACCCCCTCCCCAGGCACAGGTGGTCCGGTGAGGACCCTCCACAGGGGCCGCCCAGTGTCACCGTCCTGCCAGCATCCCTGGGAATCCCTGAGCACTGCAGCCTCGCGCAGCATCCACGCCGCGGCCAGATGACCTCCCAGGGCGCACCCTGTGCACCTTTGGGCAGCCCTGCTATTATCATTAAGCTTGAACGCACCCCAGACAGCCCTGGCTCCGGAGAGCACCATGCGGCCTTCTAGGTGCAGCCCCTCAGCTGCTCTGCGCTCAGTGAGATGCTGGACCCGCGGATGCTTCCCACAGCTGGCCAGAACCCGAGTCCGAGCCCTGGAGCCTGTGCGAGGCTTCTGTCCAGAGAACTGAACACAGCGGGGGCTTCAGCAGAGCCACATCTGCTCCAGGGAAGGGGGTCCCAGACCCCTAGGCTGCAGGCGAGCCGAGGGCCCTGGGGTCTGCTTCGTGTGCCGAGCACCAGCTCTTCCCAGGAATTGTTTGTGTCTCCAGGAAGAGGATGCCGCAGCCTCCCAGGAGGGATCACAAGCCTGCCTGGCACAGACAGTAACCACCCCCCGTCTCCTCCCGGCCCTGTGAGACAGTCCTGGTTCTCCCCTCACACGGAGCGGGGAGGAAAGCTCCAAGGTCAGCGCCTGCCCGGGGCAACGAGTGTTAGAAACAACCAGAACCCAGACACGGCCCCTCCCTTCAGGGTGGAGAGGACAGACAGCCTCCCCACCTTAGCCCCTCCCCCAACCTGAGGAGGGACGTGATTCTGGGGCACTGAGGGGGTCTGGGAAGCCTTGAGGTCCCTGGGAGCTGGGCCTCGAGGTCGAGTGGGTCTTCAGCTGGGACTGAGGTTGGCTTTTCCTGCAGCAGGAGGACGGGGTGTGGAGCGGGCCACAGCGAGGGGCTGGGCTGGGGGCCGGGGGCCAGAGGAGGGGGCAGGCACTGGCCCAGGGACCGCTCAGGCTCTTGGGAAAGGACTTCCTGTTTAGGGGGTTCACGGTGGCCCCAAGGCCCTGAAACTGCCACGCAGACAGGAGTGTCCATCTGAAGGCCAGATGCCCTGGCTTTCCTTGTGGGAACTGAGTCAGCTCAAATCAAACAGGTGTTCCCCTCACCTCGTCGTCCCACGACAAGGACTGTGCTTTGTTGATAGCACTTATTTCTGAACAATTTTGCAACACAAAAAATGCAGGTGGTATTTTTACTTAAACATGTGAATCCCTCTATTTGGTGGTTTTCCTGAAAACGTGGTTCAGGCGCTGTCTTCTTCCGTGCACTGGTGTTCAGACAGCCCCGTGGACGGTCTACAGCCCCACGGACGGTCTGCCCCACAGACGGTCTGCAGCCTCACGGACTGTCTGCAGCCCCAAGGATGGTCTGCCCCACAGACGGTCTGCAGCCCCACGGATGGTCTGCCCCGCAGACGGTCTGCAGCCTCACGGACTGTCTGCAGTCCCAAGGATGGTCTGCCCTGCAGATGGTCTGCAGCCCCACGGACGGTCTGCAGCCCCGTGGAAGGTCTGCAGCCCGTGGACGGTGGGCACCTCCAGGCCAGGGCGGCGGTGGGGAAGTCGGTGCAGAATGAGCACAAAACCACATCCCTCTGCCAAATCTTGGTGGTTAAACCATGTCCCTCAAGACTTCTGGATACTCCTCCAGTTCAGCCGCGTGCAGAGTGCAGGGGAGGCTGTCACTCCGTCCCCGGGGAGCCTGCCCTTCTAGAGTTCTCCAGACACCCCGGGGCGGGGTCAGGGGCAGCTGTCTCCACGGAAACAAACGAGACAGCTGACCTAGACCATGTCGAGATTTCCACATCAGGCGGACGCTTCCAGAGGAAGCCACTACAGCCACCCAAAGCTGCTAAGACGCCACTACCCTGGGACAGTGTTGGAGGAGAGCACGGGCTCTGGTGTCACACAGCCTAGGTCCAAATCTGGCTTCCCCACTTGACAGCTGCCAGACCCCGGCCACTAGTGGCTGGAGTGGGGAGAATAATGAGCCCCCGGGGCTGCGGGCCAGAACCTGGGCCTCCAACGTGGGAGCCACTGGCCCGTGTGGCATCTTGAGTGTTAAAATGAAATGGAGAAATCCATTCCTCTGTCACGTGGGCCACACTTCTAGTGCTTGGTAGCCACACATGGTGGGGGACCCCCACAGACTGCACAGACCTGGAACATTCCATCATGGAGGACAGTCCTGTCGGACGGTGCAGGTCGAGACCGGCGGTAAATGCAGGTGGCCCCGTAGAGCTGTGTCCACAGCAGGACTCATCCCCTGCTGTCTGGACGTCTGTTTTAGCGAGGCCTGAGGGTCTCTGCAGCCCATCCACGCATGTGTCTGTATCCTGGCTTTCCGAGGACAGTGGCCGTGACTCTGGCTGACGTTCCCCAAAGCCTGGAGAGGGACAGGATGGCCCGGGCCCTGCGCTCCCGGGCTCTCCTCCTTCCTTCGAGGCTTGGGACAGCAGTGGGGAGAGCACCCTTGGATGCCACCCTGCATAAGGCTGCGTCCAGCCCCATTACCCCCTTGTCCACGTGTCCAGATGCTAACGTTGACAATACCCCCCGGGGCAGGCTTTGGGGGCACTGAGGCCATCTCAACGCGCCTGCTGCCTAATTGAACCCGGCTCACGTGCTCGTTCCGGGTCAGTGTCTCGACAACCTCAGTTTATGACATTAGGGCTGAAGCTCGTCAGCAACACTTCTCACGTTATTGGACTGCAGGCCAATTCTCAGAAAAGGACTATTTTGACTGATTTTAAAGATAAATCTGTGTGAACTAAAATCCACACAGCACCTAGGACAATGGAGAATAAAACACGCGAGCTGGGCGTCGCTCCCACGGCCACCCCCTGGCAGGAGCCCAAGAAAACATGGACCACAGGCTGCCTCGGACCCGCCAGATCCAAACCAAATACTCGGGATTGCTGGAGTTTAGGGGTGACTCCTGGCCTAACTGGACCAATGGCTGTTTCATAGAATTAAAAGAGCATTAGTTAGTGAAATCAGTGTGAATGATCTGGGGCACAATTTATGCACAGTGGCTACTGGACATACACGGACCCGAAGGCTGACCAGTTTTGGGGAGCAAAGAAAACAGTAGTCAGAAGGAAGTTGGAAAAAGCAGGAATTGTTCACAGAAAAGGATGAACTGAAATCAGTGCCGTTCACCCAAACACTACAAGCAAAGCCTGTTTTAATGGCGGGTGAGTGAAAGGAAGCACCTGCACTGGGAGGTCAGAGGCCGGCTCAGCACCGGCTTCTCAGCCTCAGCAACGTCCACAGTGTCGGGCACGCGAAAGCACGGCCACGGCCCACAGCCACGGCAGGCGCACAGTCAGCATGTGCTGGGTGGACAGACGCTGCTCTCGGGCCCGTGAGGACCGGAGAACACGCACATCCTCCAGCTGCTCCGCCCCTCAGCTCCCGGGCCGGTCACCCACGCTCTCTCTTTTTGGGCAACGAATGTGAACACGTGTTCACTGGTTATTTTATGCCTTCTGCTTTTATGAGGCTCCTGTTTTGAAACAGACATGTGGGTTTTCAAGGAGAAGAGTGAAACTGTGGCCCCGGGGCCGATCTTCCCAGCCCGCCCAGGATGCAGAGCACAGGACACTCACCTGCCTGCACTCAGGCTCCAGGAGCCATGTCTTCCCCAGGGGAGCAGGAACAGAGGGAAAAACAAGGTCACTCCCGGTCAGCCGCCCCATAGTGCTTCCCCCAAACCACCAGATTGACCCCCACAGGAGTCGCCCGCAGAGTGATGGTGGGACCAGGTGGGCTCCAGGGCCCTCGCTGGGCTGGCTCGTCCAGAGCCCCGCCGGCGCTTCAGAGATGGGAACCTCGTCCCAAGCACAGGATCTCATCCAAACAAGGACAGACGCCAGCCCCCAGTCTTCCGGTCGGAGCTGGTCTCCGAGCCCACTTTTTGTTTTTAATAATTTTTTAAATAATTTTTATTTATTTTTTTCCCCCAAAGCCCCAGTAGATAGTTGTATGTCATAGCTGCACATCCTTCTAGTTGCTGTACATGGGACATGGCCTCAGCATGGCTGGAGAAGCGGTGTGTTGGTGTGTGCCCGGGATCCGAACCCGGGCCGCCAGTAGCGGAGCACGAGCACTTAACCGCTAAGCCGCGGGGCCGGCCCCAAGCCCACTTTCTAAGTGCGCTGCAGGGGTGACCTGGGGCCCACCAGTGGGCGTGCCTCCCTCCAAGGGGCCACTGCCCTGAAGACAGCCCAGGATGGAGGAAAGGGCCCCATCAGCCCACACCTGGCACCGCACAAGGAACCTGCACACACCACGCTGAGCTTCCTTTGGGGACGGGCCACCCTCCACGGAAACGCGGCTGCCTGTCCATAAGGACGTGACTGCCACCAGCGAGCATGACCTGTGACATCAGAGGGTGATCTTTGACATCAGGGGGTATGATCTGTGACATCAGAGGACATGGCCTGTGACACCAGAGGATGTGCCTGTGACACCAGAGGACATGGCCTGTGATACCAGAGGATGTGACCTGTGACACCAGAGGACGTGGCCTGTGACATCAGAGAATGTGGCCTGTGACACCAGAGGACGTGGCCTGTGACATCAGAGAGTGACCTGTGACATTGGAGGGTGACCTGTGACATTGGAGGACAGGCCTGGACACCCAGCATCCCACCTTCCCCACGATTAGTGGGATGAAGCTACTGAGAAAGTCTGTGCGGGCGCAGCGACCTGCCTCTGAAAGGTCATGCCCTCTGTTACTGGGGGATGCGGGCACCCCTGGTCCCCACCAGTCGCTGGGCCAGGTCAGCAGGGCCCCAGTCTCGTAGTCCAGCTGAGGTCAGCGCAATACAACGGGGCTGCAGGCGGGACAGTGTGGACGCCTGGGCTTGGAGTTGGAGGGGGCAAAGGAAAGCCGGCACGGACGCTGCCCCCAGCGTCTCTTCTCCGTCTACTAGATTCAAGTAAAATGACATCGGCAAGCTTCAGTTCAACCCTGAAGTCCCCAAGGCCAATGCTCATCCCTACCTCCTTTTGTTCTCAATTAATTTTTAAATATTTTTGTGACAAAATACACATAACATAAAATTTTAACCATTTTCCATTGTGTAGTTCAGCAGCATTAAGCACATTCACGTTGTTGTGCAGCCATCACCACCATCCATTTCCAGAAACGTTTCATCTTTTCAAACTGAAACTATGTCCTCACTAATTACTAACTCCCCATCCCCCTTCCACAGCTCCTGGGACCCAACATCTACTTTCTGCCTATGGATTTGACTCCTCAAGGGACCTCATGTAAGTGGAATCGTAGTATTTGTCCTTCTGTGTTTGACTCATTTCACTCAGCATAATGTCCTCAAGGTCTATCCATGTCATAGCACGCAGCAGAATTTCCTTCTTTTTTAAAGCTGAATAATATTCTTGTATGTGTATTCTACATTTTCTTTATCCATTCATCTGTTGACAGACAATGGGATTGCTCCTGCCTCTTGCCCACTGTGAATGATGCTGCTGTGAACACGGGTGTGCAAACATCTGTTTGAGTCCCTGCTGTCAATTTTTTTGGGTGTATATCCAAAAGTGGAATTGATGGCTTATGTGGAAGTTCTATATTTAATTTTTTGAGAAACTGTCATACTATTTTTCACAGTGGCTGCACATTTTACATTCCCACTAACAGTGCACAAAGGTTCCAATTTCTCCACGTCCTCACCAACACTTGCTATTTTCTGTTTTTTTTTTTTTTTTATAATTGCCATACTAATTTAGGGTGTGAAGCAGTATCTCATTGTTTTGACTTGCTTTTCCCTCATGAGCATCTTCATGTGCTTTTGGCCATATGTTTGTCTTCTTTGGAGAAATGTCTATTCAAGTCCTTCACCCATTTTTCAGTCAGGTTGTTTTTTTGTTGTTGGGTTTCAGGCAATCTCTATATATTTTGGATAATAAACTCTTCTCAGATATGTGATTTGCAACTATTTTCTCCTGTTTTGTGGATTGCCTTTTCACTCTGTTGATAGTGTCTTTTGAGGCACGAAAGGTTTTGATTTTGATCAAGTCCAATTTATCTATTTTCACTTTTGCTGCCTGTGCTTTTGGTGTCATATCCAAGAAATCACTGCCAGATCTGATGTCATGAAGCTTTTCCCCTGTGTTTTCTTCTAAGAGTTTTATAGTGTTAGCTCTTATGTTTAGTTTTTTTACCTCTTAGTGAATCTCTGAAAATAGTGTGAGTTAAGGGTCCATCTTCATTGTGTTGTGTGTAGATGTCTGGTTGTGTCATAAAGACTGTCCTTTGCCCACCGAATGGCCTTGGCGGCCTTGTCAGCATCATCTCCCCGTGCACAGGAGTAGACTCTGGGCTCTCTCTTCTCGTCCGTGGTCTGCACGTCTGTCTTTATGCCGGCGCCACACTGTTTTGATTACTGTGGCTTTGTAGTAAGTTTTGAAATCAGAAATGTGAGTTCTCCAACTTTATCCTACCTTTTGAGGATTGTTTTGGCTATTCAGGTTTTCTTGAGATTTCATATGAATTTCAGGAGGGGTTTTTCTATTTCTGCAAAAAACGGCACTGGGCCATCACTCCCTTTTAAGTCCACCATCTGCATCAGCGTGGACGTGAGGGTCCTTCCTCGCACCTGGAGTCAGTATCCAGCTCTGAGCCACCTCTTTGGTGCTCAAATTGTTCCACTTGGGCCTTTGGGAGCTCTTCAGCTGGTTCCTGTGACCTCCGTCCCCCAGCACGTGTTTGGTCATCTCCACACTCTCTGGCACTACACGTCTGATGCATTCCTTGCCCCAGTCCCAGGGCCAGTGACGTCCCTGAGGAGCCCTGGTAGCCTTGACTAGAGAACATGCTGGAAACCGAGACCTGGGCCTGAGAGGTGCTCCCGCCTCCAGGCCCCGTCAGGGGACAGCACTAGGACATGTGTGGACTCGTATTTAGGTAAATTGTGTCCTCGTCTGCCCCCTGTGACTGCCTCACAGAAACACTGGCTGCCCAAGGACACTTTTCACGCCAACAAAGACCCCAGATGCCTCCGGGTGCTCCACCATCACGACAGCCCAGTTCTGGGGGACCTGTTCCACACTTGGTCACAAGGTCTGCACTTGTCTGGCGTTGTCATGAGCGGTGGCCCCATCACTGGTGCCCCACCCTGGCCCCTCGCCTGCTGCACAAGCCCTCACCCTCCCGAGCCTCAGTTTCCCGTGACGGCAGGAGGACACTTCCCGGCTGGCACTTTCTGCCCCTCGGTTCGTCTTCCACTCCTGGGAAAGGCCACCAAGGTGGAGAGCCGAGTGCTGCTGGGACGAGAATGTTTAGCAGTACCGGGGGAGCTTCACTGTGCACAAAGGCACATTAAGGAAAGGGCAGCTGATAGAGGACTGCAGGCTCCCCAGCATGGAAGGAAGGAGCTCGCAGGGCCCGCCTCAGGAGCTGGAAGCCGCCCTCTCCCGGCAGAGCTCCAGACCTTGACGCAGGGACACGGGGCTTCCCTGAGAGGTGGGAGGACTCTGTGCTCCCGTGCTGGACACTGCACACGTGGCCGGGTGTCTGGCGACGTCTGCGGCGCAAGCCCCCCTGCACCAGGGCCCCACGGAGGCCCGCGTCCTCACAGCCCCCAGGGGACAACGGCAGGCCCCGCGGTCTGGGTGCCGAGGTAGCAGACGCAGAGGTGGCAGCACGATGCCCCGGAGACAATGGTGTGCATCCACAGCACACAGCCTCGCCCCAAGTGTGCAGACCTAGTCCGGTGCCCATCTCTTGCCAGCGTGAGACTGAGTGATAAAGCAAAGTCAGACAGTGGCAAGAGGCGAACAAGAGACAAACACCTGGGAAAGGTTCAGATGGTGCTGAAATGGCTGGGGAGATGCAGCTTTCCTGTGCCTCGGAGGCCAGAAATGGTGAGAGAAATGGGGGCAGGTAGAGGCACCAGGAGCAGGACCCCTGACCACAGATGGTTCCCTCTCGTCCGCTTCACTGGGGGCCCAGCCTGTGGGGCTGAGGCCCAGGTCAGAGTTTCTGGTCACTGAGTGGGGACTGCAGATTGGAGCTCTTGGTCGGGTGGCTGGGGTGGGGTGGGCTCCCAATGGCACGGGCAGCAACCTTGGGTCCAGATCTCTGTGGGGTTGACCTGCACGCAGCGGCTGGCCAGGCCTGGCTGCTCTCAAGTCTATGGCTTCCTTGCTCTCTGACCAGGGAGAAGCCTGGGCCGCCTCTGACCCAGAATGGCACACGGCGTGCACTGCCCACCACAGAAGCCCGGGACAGGCCAGACTGACCCTGGCGCCCGGCCTGAGCTGACTGCCATGGGCCAGGCGCTTCTGGTGTTTTTTCTCACCCCAAAGTGATGCTGCCTGAGGGACAGGAGCCTGGAGGGCTGACCGGGAAGAGGGTGCAGCACCTGCCTGCCCCGGCCAGAGACACAGCCCAACCTGACTATGGTCGACAGGACGAGGTGACCTCCCGCCATCTGTCGCCTAGTGACCAGGTGCCCAGCTAACAAAGGGAGAAAAGCCATTTCCTATACCAAACACGGAGAACATATGCAGGTGAGCACAACACCCCCAGGGAAGGACGCACAGGGAGGTCGCCAGGGGACATGGGGAGGGGCTCCGAGCACACCTCATCTCTCTCCCCCACGTGACTGGAGCTCCTGCCTGAACACGGGCCTCGCTGCGCATGGCACCCCGAGGCCACAGCACCCCCCACCTCCTTTCCGTGGTGGACGGAGGACCAGGACTCACCGGGTTCTGGGCGTCAGCGTCGGGGGCCCCGCCGGCCTTCTGCCTCGCCAGCTCCTTCACATAGCTGCAGACGTTGGGGCCAAAGCACTCGGCCTCGTAGAAGGCGCTACCCCAGCCTGGGCTGCCGCTCTGGAACTCGGCCGGGCCGCCCACCTCGGGCCTGGCCAGCCGGGCCACTGCCTCCACGCCCGAGGCCCCGCCGGCCGGCTCTGGGCCCTCACCCTGCTGCCGGTCCCTGGCCTCTGGCTGCCGCTCCCTCTCGGCTCTCACCGACTTCTGAGGCCGGAATCCCACCTCGAAGTTCCCCCGGGACAGCTCCTCTGAGTCCACGTCGGACAGTGCCGCGGGCGGACAGGGGACTCGGCCCAGGCGCCTGGAGGACGGCTTCTCCATTCCTGGACGGAAGTTAATGGGTAGAGTCCGTCACTCACTGTTTACGGAGAGGCCGCCCGTGCCGAGCCGGGAACGTGAGACCCCTAGACAGCCACTCTAGAGGGGCTGCCAGGGGACCTCAGGGCCAGGGGTGGGGGTGGGGGGTCCTGCTTCCTAGGAGGGGTCCCGTGGATCCCCCGCTGTCACGCGAGCAGAGTCGAGGGTGGAGGTTTGCGGGAATTTGAACTGTTTGTAAATACATGGATACAAGAGGGTCCTTCGTGGGGAGAGGATGGGAGCAAGTGGTGGCTGTCCTGAGCACGTCCCTTTGCTTAAATCTCCTGCAGCGCACATGCCTGCAGAGAGGGTGGGGCACGGTCACCAGTCCTTGTCACCGCTCCCAGGGCCACACAACCTCACCCCCAAAACCGTGTCCTCTTAGACCGGATTTTGGGAAATTACAGAGATGTCAGTCATCTGGGCGCCCTGGGCTAACAATCCAGGAACAGAAGCCTCAGGGCCTTCCAGTGGCACACGTTTCCAGAAAACATGCAGAGATCCACGCTGGCATCGCCAAGCTGCTGGCCAGCGACTCTGGGAGGCAGAGGCGCCCCGTCCACCACAACCCCCAGCCCCAAGGCTGCCTGGGCTTCTGCTGGCGTGGGGAAACATGCCCCCCGACAGTGTAGACCCCCCAGGGGAGGACGGGCCCTGCCCTGGGGACCCAGGGGGGCACGTTTCCTATAATTGTGCAGCTGAGAGGGTAGAGATGAACCCGCATAGAAAGGTCCCCCCAGAGCCCACGTCTCTCACCTGCTCCACGCAGGGAGGGCCTTTTGCTGGACGGTGAGCAGCCACGCGGAGCTCTGGTCCTGCCACTGCCCTCGGGCTGTGACCCAGCCTCTTCCGAAGTGCTGCCATCAGAACAGAGGACACTGCAGGCACCCCCTCTGGCTCCCTAGGCCCCTCACTACATAGCAGCCTCCTTCAGGCTCACCTGAGGAACCCCCAGCTCTTACCCTACCTAAACACCCTGGGGTGTGGAGTGGGGACCCCTCAGCGACCCGCCCCCAAGCACTTCTGGGGCACACGCCACAGAGACCCTCCAGCTTCCCACTTCCTGGGGATAGCCTGGCTGCCGCGGAGCCCCCCTTTGTCCAGGCAGAGGGCTCTCTGGGCATTGATGTCTTGGGGTCCCCAGAGAGTCTTCTCAGTGTTACGAGGGTGTCGGGGCCCCTCTAGGCACGGGCCTGGCCTGGCCGCCCCCGACATCACCCTCTGCAGCCCCCAGGAGGCATCGGGGAGCAGCAGGGCATGGACAGTGAAGGGATGGGGGCTGCGGGGGCTGGTGGGGACAGGGAGAAGGAAGCTGTAGTCACCCCACCTTCTAACACTGGGAGAGAGCTGTCACCTGACTCTGGCCTGGACAGCAGGGCAGTACGCTGTTCCCTGAGGGGACATCCCCCACACCCCCAGGCTCCTGGTCACTCTGCCTCCTGGAGCTGGGCTTTGAGCAGGCAGATGTGCCTGCTGCTCCCATGACTCCATGAACCCTCTCTTCCTGCCAAAAGGAGCCCAGTGCCCAAAGGTAAAGCTTTGGAGGCAGGGTGGGCCTCTAGCCCAACGAGAGGGGCCCCCAGTGGGTGACCTCTCTGGGGAGGGCGATGAGCTGGAGGCCAGGGTGCAGCAGGAGAAGGCTGAGCTGTTGGCCAGGAGAACGTGGCGGGAGCACATCGGGGGCCTGGAGCGGGCAGGAATGCAGGGCCGTCCTGGGGCCCGGCCACAGTGATCCGGAGTGGGGGAGCCTAGGCTGCGGGGGGTACTCACTTCTCGGGGGGCGACGTCCTCCCATTCACCACTTTGAAAAGATTCTGCAGCAACTTCTCCCCCCAGTAGAGGTCACAAAACTTCTCGGAAATGGCCCCGCAGAACGTGGCATAGGTGAGATCTTTCAAGGCGTAAATATACTCCCCTACGTTTGCAGGATGACAGGGCAGGTTACGATGTGGGCTACAAATGGGCCAGGCTGATCTCAGGAGCTGGGGGGTGGGGAGGGGAACCGGGTGGGGGGAGCTGGGCTCTGAGACCCTCTTCCATCCTGAGGCTTTGCTGCCAGCTGGCCCCTGGGGGGCTCAGCTCTGCCCTCCGTGCTCTCTGTGCAGAGACAGATGAGTGGGGATCCCTCCTGGTGGTGGCCCCAAGGCGCCTTCACACTGAGCTTCCCCCAGTGCACTGCATCCCCCCATGGCCTCTCCCTGGTCCTGGGGCTTCTCTGGGGCCCTCTGTGTTCCCCCAGGTACCCATGATCAGAGCCTCCAGCCCATTGTCCAGGTAGCCGTCAAAGGCGAACTCCTCCTGGATGAGACGTGTGGCCTCTTGCAGCGACAGGCAGCCCGTCCCCTTTGGGAGGGGTGAGGCATCCACATTAGATGCACAGAGCTTGCAGTCAGCTGGCTGGGGCTGCTCGGGGTGACCGTGTGGGGCCTGGTCATCCTGCTCCCTGACAGGGGTGCCCCTGGGGTTGTCTGGACTCGCCGTGGCAAGGCAGGGGCCCCGTGGGGCTGGTGGGGGGCCCTCGGGCTCCTGGCCGGGGCCCTCAGTGGCCTTGATCCTGGGCGGCTTGGCTGGCTGACACGGGCCATGCTGGGTGGTGGGCCCTGGGGGGCAGGGCCCAAGGCCTCCAGAACAGGCTCCAGGAGGGACTAGTTCGTCCAGCCCTTGGTCCGGGGGTGGCACCTGTGCCTTCAGGGGTGGGACGGCGGCAGAAGGTTCAGGGCTTGTCAACAAAGGCCCCTCCTGCGGGCTGGCGGGGGAAGGGGGTGGGGGGCAGGGGCACCCCTGGGCTGAGTCTCTGAGGGGTTCTGGTGGTGCTCCTTGTGGTCTGGGACCGGGTGCTGGCTGGTCAGTCGCCTTCAGGCTGGTGGCCACTCCGTGGGCCTCAGGAGCCTGCTTCCCATCGCCCTCCCCATCCAGCTGGCCTCTCCTCTCCTCGGGCTCCTCGGCCAGCCCTGAGGAGAGGGCAAGTGCGTCCCTGTGGGGAGAGAAGGGGAGAGCACTCAGGAGAGCCTCCGGACCCTGCAGCTCCTTGGGGGGCGGGGGGTGCTCACCTGGCCACACCTGCGTCTGGTGCCAGGACAATGGGCTTAAAGTGGGTGGCCATGGAGGTGAACGCCTCTGGCAGCAACGTGGCCCCTTTGCAGCAGGAGGGTTGACAGGGCATGGGCCCCTGCATGGCGACAAGCCTGGTGTCGCCAACGCGCATGAAGCCTGGGGACAAAATCGAGGTGAGAGGGTGGAGGGGGCTGGCTATGCAGATGCCCTGGTGCGCCTCCCCATAAAAGCCACAGCTCCTCCCAGCTTTGACTGTTGGTGCCGCGTCCCCTCTCCCACGTCTCTAAGGGCCCAGGAGACACTGGGACCTCAGGGACAGAGGCCCGAGGGAGAGGCCTGAGCCCAGGGCGGCTGGGAGCTGGGAGGGGGGACACAGGTGCCGGGGGAGCACTGGAGTGACAGAAAAGGCCAGAAGAGCTGGGCCACAGATAGGGGGCTCCCACAGCCTGCAGAGGAGGGATCTTCTTCATGCTGCAGGATGGGGCGGGTGCCACGGGGACGGGACCCTGTGGGCTCTGTGGAGGGAGACGGGGTGGGACCAGGACTGGGGGTTGGTACAATGTGGACGCGGAAGGGGCATGGGGGTGTGGAGGCCGCCTGCTCTGGAGCCTGGGGAGACAGGAGAGAGAACTTGGAGCCGAGGCCCAAGGGACCAGGAGTTTAGAAGAGACAGAGGCAGAGAGGGAAGAGCAGGTTGGGGGTCCTGGTGACGTCCGGGTGTCCACTCAGGGCTGGACTCCCAGAGGCAGCTCTGGTGGGATGGCCGCAGGGGCAGCATGGCGGGGGTGCAGGGGCCCGGGGGCAGGAGAGGCCGGGCCTGGGGGGCCCACCTGTGCCGGGCCCGGGAGTGGGTGCCGTGCTGGCGTTCAGTTCAACCACCGAGAAAGCGTTCTGGAGACTGATGGTCTCTTCCTCCTGGTGAACCTGGGCAGAGGCACACAGACACCCCGAGTCGAGGTGACAACAGCGGCCCCGACATGCTGGGCGGACCCTGCAGCACGTGATCCCCGCCCTCTCAGCCCCGAGGAGCTCGCAGCGTGCTGGCTCGCAGAGCTGGGCTTGTTTCTCTTTGGAACAAGAGCTTTCTGGGCATTTTGCTTCCCAGTTCAACAAGGTTTTGGTAGGTTTCTAGGACATGGGAAGATTATGCGCCGTCCGGTCCGAGACCCTGGGTTACCCAGAACCCAGACTCCCAAAAGGTGGCAGGGGGGAGGTGTGCCTGTCTGCTGTCAGAGTGACCCCACCCCCACATCACCCACCCCTGATGTGGCCCTGCCCCGGTCAGGGCGCCTAGGGTGCCGACAGGCTCGTTTGTAGACGATGCCAGCTACCTGAGGGTCACTGTGCAGGAACCCCAGGGTGTGCCCTGCCCCAGCGCTGGGTGAACAGCACCCACACACGCCAGGTGGTCAACAGAGAGCCAGAGCGACCGAGCTACCTACACCTTCTCTCTCAGCTCTCTACACAGCTGGACACTGGACTCCATCTCCCTGGGGCCCCGGGCAGAATAGGGGTCTGCACCGGGCTCCGGACACCACTGTCTCACCTGGCAAGTCGATGCCCTCAGGTGAGCCAAGATCTTCCTGCTGTCCATGCCTCGCTGGAGGAGGTGGGTGCCGCACGTCTGAAAGCAAGCACACGGCCACACCTGGGGATCGGTGGCTCAGGCACCGCCCCACTTTGCTCCGGCGGTGCCAGGGAACCGCCAAGCTGGACGAGGAGCCTGTCAGAGCACGTGGTGGCAGCGAGGAGGGCCAGGGGCTTCTCGCCGGGAGGACCCTGAAGGCGCCCCAGCCTTGGGCCGCCTGTGATGAGACTCAGTGTCTGCGCGTCCACCAGCCGTCCCTCCCCAGCTGGAAATGAAAACTGAACAGAGATGGGCACGGCCTCTCCCCCGACCCGGCCTTGCGGATGGCCACCTGCACGGAGCCACCTGAGCCCCCGCTCACCTGGCCCCCTCCTTCTCCCTCTAAATGGCAGTGGCCTCTGTGCAAATGAGGGCAGGCTCGCTCTGCCCCTCCTGCAGCATTGACTGCTTAAAATCCGCTCTCACCACTTCAACTGATGTCTGGCCGTATTTACCTTTGACACTGGATCTCGTCCTCACTGGAGAGAACAGGCCAGAGAGGCCCAGAGAAGTTATGCAGGCTGCCTGAGGTCACAGAGAAGGCCTGGCACCCAGGTCCCCTAGCCCCAGAGCTGTCTCCTCCACCTATCTACACACAGCTTCTCCTTCCAGAAGGCTCTGCGGCCCCCTAACCACCAAAATGCAATGGTGGGCCCCCCTGCACTCATCCAGCGGTAGCTGGCAGACGTGGCACTGGCCACTCTTGGAGGATGGTCAGGACCCGCCCCGCTGGGCCCCCGCCCAGCCTGGAGAGACCAGCCGGGGAGGGGGAGGCTGACAGGACCCTCAGAGGAGGTGTTAGGGGACGCTCTGCTCCCCTCTGGCAGGGCCTAAGGGCAGGGGTCAGCCCTCGGCCCCAGGACATCCCCTACCTACTCTCTGGCCTGTGGACACCTTGGAGACAACAGGGGGTCTGGAGGGAATGCCGGGGTGGTGAGCAGCTGAGACCCCCGCTGCCCTTCCCCATCCAGCGGCACTGGCCTTCCCGGGAATCCAGACCCCGTGTCCAGCCCTCCTCCCCTGTGGGCCACCTCCCAGGCCCTGGACGGTGAGCTGGTCCCCTTGCAGCTCTGTTACCTTGATGGCCTCGGCTGCGGACGGCCGCTCCTGGGCGCTGCGTCTGGCCATGTCCAGGAGGAGGGTCTTGAGCCTGCGTGGCAGGGCCAGCTTGTGGTCTCGGGGGACGCTGAACTTGGCTGCTGTCCACAGGACCGCGGCCACACAGTACACTGAGGCCTGGGTGGAGGAGGAGAGAGAGGGCCAGCCCTGCTCAGCAGGCCTGCCCCCGCCCCAGGGCTCCCCAAAAGGGTCACCGGGGCACCGTCCCCACAGACACACTCCTGTCGGGACTCCCGCCAGGCGCCAGGCACCTCCTCAGAGCCTGGAGCCCCACCCCAGACCCTGCGTCGGCACCCAGGGGCACAGCCTTGGAATCTGCATGTTTAACAGGTACCCACAGGGCTGAAACACTCGAGTGTGAACAGCCACGACTTAGGTCTCAGCCGGGTTTCCCGCCTGTCACTCTCCTCACGAAGGTGAAGGTGGCGACCTGGGGAGTCTGAGGCCAGGAGCCCCAGAATCAGTGGTGTGCTGCTAAACGGTTAAGAACGGGCTCTCCGAACAAACCTGCACGCCTCTGCATATTCTAGAATTGACTGAGATATAGGATGTGCAGCACACAGTTTAAAATAATGAAAGCTCTTTTTTCTAAGTCCCATCCAGGCGACTGACTCTCACTGAGAGTTTTCCTGGATTTTTACCCAACGGCTGCGTCCGCAATCAGCCTATGACGAGTGAGCGGTTCCGACATGAACGTTGGTCGGTATTTTCGTTTATCTCAATAAGATGAACATGAAACAAGAAAGACACAGGCTGGTGCTGCACTCGTCTGGGTGGCGTCTTTGCTGCATCGGAACAGTGTTGAGAACCGGAAGAATATTCCTTTGAGCGTTTTTGACTCCCGAAATGCAGCAGCCACAGACAGGACACACCCATAAGTTCAGTTGTAGTAACACTTCCCACCTTGCTCCGCTAAGTCCAGACAATCGACAGAACAACACACCACCGCTGGTGTTAGCGCCTGCTGGCTGCCGCGGTGTAAACACTCCGCACGGCCAACTTCAAGCTGCCCAGGTGGCGCCAGTGGACGGAGAAGAGGAAGGACGGAGGCCCCCTTGAGGCAGCGCCCCCCCAGCCAGGAGCATGGCCAACAGGACACTCCAGTCAAACCTCTAGGAAATTGTTAGTTTTGAGTATTTAATCTTTTAAGAAGTTTAACTTTTTATTTGAGACAATTGTAGATTCACACACAGTCGTAAGAAGCACTGTACAGAGATCCTGTGCGCCCTCACCAGCTTCCCACAATGGTAACGTCTTGCAAAACCATAGCACCACGTCACAGCCAGGACGTGGCCGGTGACACAACAGAGACACAGAGCATCGTCAGGATACCCCCTGTGGCCCTGACCACGTCTATTCCCGCCCTCCTTGATCCCTGGCGACCGCTCCTCTGGCTTCCATTTCCATAATTTTGTCATTTCACGTAGATGGAATCACACCATAGCTAACCTTTCCGGATTGGCTTTTTCCTCCCAGTACAGTCACCTGCAGATCCACCAGCTTCAACATTCCCTTCCCTTGACTGCGGACCAGCAGTCCATGGTGTGGAGGTGCCACGGCCTGTTGAACTCTCACCCTCTGAAAGACACCTGGGTTGTTTCCAGTTTGGGGCTATCACGAATAAAGCTGCTACAAACGTTCGTGTACAGGATTCTGTGTGAACTTTTCTCTAGGACAAACATCTTGGAGAGCAACTTCTGGGCTGTGTGGTAGCTGCATGTTGAGTATTTTAAGAAACTGCCAGATTGTCTTCTGAAGCGGCTGCACTGTTTTGCATTCCCACAGCAATGCCTGAGAGTGCCTGTTGCCCCACATCCTTGCCAGCATTTGGTGTTGTCAGTTTTCCAGATTTTGGCCATTCTAATAGGTGTGTAGTGGTTTTCCATTGTTTTAATTTGCTTTTCGTGATGACATATGGAGGTGAGCATTTTTCTTATTCTTATTCAACGTAAGACGTCTTCTTTGGCGGGGTGTCTGTTCTGGTCTTTTGCCCACTTTTTAATTGGGTTGTTTCCTTTCTTATTGTTGATGTTTAAGAGTTCTTTGTATACGTGGATAACAGTCCTTTATCAGATACGTGTTTGGCAAACATTTTCTCCGAGTCTGTGGCTTGTCTTTTCACTCTCTTAACATATCTTTTGCAGAGCAGAAGTTTTTATCCTAATGAAGTTTAACATCAGTTTTTCTTTCATTGATCGTGCTTTTGGTCAGGTCTAAAAACCCACTGCCTAGTTTTTCTCCTAAGTTGTCTTCTAGGAGTTTTATAGCTTTGCATTTTACATTTGGGTCTATGATCCATTTTGAGTTAATTTTTGTGAAAGGTGCAAGGTCTGTGTCAAGATTCTGTTTTTTGTGTGTGTGTGCATGTGTTTGTTCAGTTGTTCTGGCACCATTTGTTGAAAAGACTGTCCTTTCTCCATTGAATTGCCTTTGCTCTTCTGTCAGAGACTGGCTGACTATATTGACAGGAGTTTATTTCTGGGATCCCTCTTCTGTTCCACTGACCAATTTGTCTGTCCTTTCACCAATACCACATTGTCTTGATTATTGTAGCTTTATGGTAAGTCTTGATGTCGGGTGGTGTCAGTCCTCCAACTTTGTTCTCCTCCTCCAATATTGTGTTGACATTCTGTGTCTTTTGCCTCTCTGTATAAATGCTAGGATCATTTGTTGGTATCCACAAAATAACTTGCTGAAATTTTGAATAGGCTTGCAGTGAATCTGTAGGTCAAGTTGGAAGAACTGAGATGTTGACAATATTGAGTCTTCCTATCGACGAACATGCACTATTTCCCCATTTACTTGGATCGTTTTTGGTTTCTTTCATCAGAGTTTTGTAGTTTTCCTCATACAGATCTTATACATATTTTGTTAGATTTATACATAAGTAATTTTTTTTTGGTGCTAATGTAAATGGTATTGTGTTTTTAATTTCAAATTCCAATTGTTCATTGCTAGGAAACAGGAAAGCAATTCACTTTTGTATATTAACCTTCTATCCTGCAATCTTGCTATAACTGCTTATTAGTTCCAGATTTTTTTTGTTGATTCTGTGGGATTTTCTACACAATCATGTCACCTGTGAACAAAGTTTTATTTCTTCCTTCTCAATCTGTATACATTTTATTTCCTTTTCTTGTCTTATTGCTTTAGCCAGCACTTCCAGTATAACGTTGAATGGGAGTGGTGAGAATGGACATCCTTGCCTTGTTTCCAATCTTAGGGGGAAGGATGTAGTCTTTTACCACTAAGTATGTTAGCTGTAGGTTTTTGGTTTTTTTGTAGATGCTCTTTATTAAGTTGAGGAAGTTTCTTCTATTCCTATTATTCTGAGTTTTTTTTTTTTTAATCATGAATGGGTGTTGAATTTTGTCAAATGATTTTTCTGCACCAATGAATGTGACATGGGATTTTTCTTCTTTAGCTGGTTAATATATTGAACTACACTGATTGATTTTCAAATATTGAACCAGCCTTGTATCCCTGGAATAACCCCCACTTTGTTAAGGTGTATCATTGTTTTTACATATTGCTGAATTCTATTGTTATTTATTTTGTTAAGGATTTTTGCCTTTATATTCATGAGAGATATTGGCATATATACGTATATTTGTATATTGTACTGTCTTTGTATGAGGAGAATCTTAGCTTTATAACATAGGTTGGGAAGTGTTCTCTCATCTTCTGTTTTCTGGAAAAGACTGCATAGAATTGGTGCCGATTTTTCTTTAAGCATTGTGTAGAACTCTCTAGTGAAACCATCTGGGCCTAGAGGCTCACTTTTTGAGAGTTTTAAAATTATATATTCAATTTCCTTCATAGTTATGGGGCTGTTCAAAGGTCTATTTCACGTTGGATGAGTTGTGATGGTATACGTTTTTCGGAGAATCGGTCCATTTCATTTAAGTTTTTGAGTTTATGTGTGTGGAGTTGTCTATGGTATTCCATTATTATTCTTTGATGTCTGCGGGGTCCCTAGGGATATCCCCTGTGTCATTCCTAATATTGGCAATTTGTGTCTTCTTTTTTTGCCTTGTCAGTTTTGCTGGAAGCTTGTTGATTTTACTGGTCTTTTCCAAGAACCAGCTCTTCATTTCATTAGTTTTCTCTATTGTTTCTCTGTTTTCATCTCATTGACTTCTGCTCTCACCTTTATTGTTTCCTTCCCTCTGCTTTGGGTATATTTTTCTCTTCTTTTTCTAGGTTCTTGAGGTGGGAGGTTAGATCACTGAGTTGACTTGACCTCTTCTCTAACACACGCATTTAGTGCTGTGAATTTCCCTGTTGGTCCTGCACAGCTGTGTCCCACAGTGTCAACACGGGCATCTACTGATGGTCTTTTTTCATTCAGTTTGAGATCTTCCTGGTTCTTGGTAGGGGAAGTGATTTTTGATAGAAACCTGACATTTTCAGGTTATGACTCTGGATCTTACTTAAACTTCTGTTTTAGCTAGCTTTCTCAGACACCACTCTGGCAGGAAGAGGGGGCACCATCTTGTTACTGACAGGTGGGGCAGAAATCCAGGTGAGGAAGGGCTCCCGTCGCTGCTGGACAGGGGTGGGAGTCCAGCTCCCCACTAGGCCTCCCCTGACGCCTCTCTGACTGGGAGGGGAAGGAGTCCTTACTGCTCCTCGCTTGCCTCCACTCACACAGGGTGGGTGGCCACGTTACTGCTGGGCGATGGTGAAAGTCCCAACTCTCTGCAAGGCATCCTCTGACACCACTCCTGCTGGGAGGGGCACCTCATTATGGATGGGTGGGATGGGTGTCCAAGCTTCCCACTCGGCCTTCGTGGGCCTGGGTGGGCCTGCCTCTTCCTTTGCCCTGGTCCTTTGGCTCAAGAGTGCAGGCTTCTGTTGGGGCTTTTTGGTCTGTGCCTGATGGTGTTTCTCAGTTGTGGCTTCTTCAGCACCAAGTCTCCATGTATGAGGCAGAAAGAAAACGCAGGGCCCTCACTACCACGAGCTCCTCAGGCAGAGGCCCCCGGCCAGCTGCCTTCTGCTTTCCACCTTTCAGTCTTCTCATGCTTGTTTTAGGAATGGGGTGTGGGTTTCTCAGTGAACTCAGTGGGGGGAGTAGGAAGTTACAGCTCCTCCACCTGCCCAGAAGTGGAAGTTCTACCTTGGTCTTGAATATAATTTAACGTATTTAATTGTAGGTTTGAACAATTTAATAAATTCCTTGCTGAAAGTTTAGCTGTGGGCACTCTCAAGCCAGCACGCACTGCCCAGCGCTGTACACACAGAACTCCCATCTCAGGGTGTCACCACCAGAGCCACATCCCTGTCACCCTCCGGGGGAGGCACTGCCAGGCGGAGGCTGGCCAGACCAGGCAGAGCCGGGGCTCTGGACGTGGGTGCTGCACTCGGGGGCCACCCTGGCGCCCGAGTCCTGATCCGGGGCCCATGCCGCCCCCCTCAGGCTCTCTGTGAAGAAGGGGCACCACCGACGGCAGGGCGCAGGCAGGAGCCCACGGGAAGGGGGGGCCCAGGTACCTTTTCAGTCACCAGGTTTTGCTCTGCAACCTCGGGAGCCAGAAAGAACGCGTTGTAAGCGCCTAAGAGAGAAACCCCCAAACCCCAGGTGAGCTCTCCTCTCAGCCCCAGCAATCGATGCCAGAGCACAGCCCCGAGGGTGAACCTGTGTACCCACCGTTGGCTGGGGGTGGCCCGAAGAGCACAGCCCCGTCCTCGGCCACCAGCACGGAGTCCAGACACAGGCAGGCTGCAACAGAGGTGAGGATCAGGGTGGCCGGACTCACTGCGGGGACCTGTTCTCCCGGGGGCCTGCAGAGCTGCGGTCGGGGTGGGGCAGCCCTTCCTCCCACCCATCCCCACACCCCCCGGGTCACCCAGGGGATGCCAGGACACCAGGGGCCTCCCTGGACTCAGCACAGGGGCTGGAGCCTCCTCCCCTTCCCAGAGGCCCTGGGCAGAGCGCCCAGAGTGGACAGGGCACCAGGAGGATCCTCCGAGGCGCCCCTCCCACCCCCAGAGCTGCCTCGCGGCTGCATGGGACATACTGGGCTGGAATGCAAGGAGCTGAAGGAAGAGAGGGCACGGAGGGGCCCGGCCCACCCGCCGAGCGCTGCCCCCAGAGGGGTCCCGGAGGAGGCTGGGGGCCCCCTCAGACTGTACCCCAAAGGTCTGCGGATCATGGGACTGGAGGGCAGCCATATGGCAGTGAAGGACTAGCACCACAGAGGGGCTGCGGCCTGCCACACTGCCGGGAGGCTGGAGCTTTGGGGGCTACAAAGCAGTGTTCCGTCTAAGATCCACCCCGCCCAGCTGCCTTTCACCTCCCTGGGGACAATGTCGCCCCCGAGAGGGTGTGGGCCACCCCCCGGCTCTGGCTTCTCCTTGTAGCAGGGTCACCTACTTTAAGGCCACAGTTTAAGCATGTGTCCTCTGCTGCCCCCTGACCCCCTTTGGTCCTAAGACTGGAGCAGACACCCCCCAGGGTGCCCCGGCTCACAGCGCGGACAGTGCCGCCCGGCCCCAGGCCATCGCACGGCCCACACCAGCTGATGCAGGCCGCAAGCTGCCCCTCGGTCCCGGCCTGGGGACACGCTGGGGCGGGCTGAACAAGGAACCGCAGGACGCAGCGTCACCTGGGTGCCGGGTGTGCGTTCGCAGCGTGCTGAGGCAGGCGTGTGACAGAGCCCACAGCTCGTACTCCCTGAAGGGCCGGCCCAGCTTGGACAAGAGGTCCTGCAGGGAGACGTCCTGCGGGGAGAAGTCCCCCTCAGTGAAAAGGGCCGGGAGTCGCTCCGCCCAGACACCCTGGGGAGGGTTTACAGCGGAAGGTGACAGACAGGGCGAGAGCTGCTCTCAATACGGTGGGCTGTGACACAGCCCACTCCCGACAAAACGGGCTGGGAAAAGTCCCCACATCCAAGCATGTGTGGGTGAGGATGTGGAGAAGTCAAAACCTCGTGCGCTGTGGGTGGGAATGTAAAATGGTGCAGCTGCCTGGAAACAGTCTGGAGGCTCCTCAAAAAGATAAACATAGAATTACCCTACGATCTGGCAATTCTACTTCTGGGTATATACCCCAAAGAATTGAAAGCAGAGTTTCGAAGAGATATGTGCACCCACGTTCACAGCAGCATTGTTCACAACAGCTAAGACATGGAAGCAACCCAAGTGTCCACAGAGGGGATGAATGGATAAATGAAATGTGGTCCATCCATACAATGGAATATTATTCAGCCTTAAAAAGGAAAAAAATTCTAACACATGCCATAACATAGATGAACCCTGAGGACATTATGCTAGGTGAAATAAACCAGTCACAAAAGGACAAATACTGTGTGATTCCACTTATATAAGGTCTGTAGAGCCGTCAAATTCACAGAGACAGAAAGTAGAACGGTGAGTGCCAGGGGCTGGGGAGGAGGATGGGGAGTTAGTGTTTAACCCTGGGGACAGGGTTTCAGTTTGGGAAGATGAGAAAGCTCTGGATGGTGGTGACGGCTGCACCATAATGTGAATATACATTATTAATGCCACTGAACTGTACACTGAAAAGCGAGTAAGATGGTAAATTTTATGTTACGTGTATTTTACTCCCCCAACACATGTAAAAGTCCCGGGGTCAGAGGAATGCATTCAGACAGAAGGTAGTTCTCCACTTGAGGCCATGGGAAGAGCGAGGACCACAGCCAGCCAGCTCCTTCGACAGGCAGAAGTGCATGCTTTAGAGGAAGGTTCCAGAGGCTATGTCTTCACTCTCAACCCCTTCCATGCCCATGGTGTGGCTGCCTCGGTCCTGCAACTCTTCCCAGCTTGCTGCCTCACCCTTCTGTGCAGGGCAGGTGGCACATGTGCCGGGCCACGGTGCCCCCTCCCTACGCCTCCTGCTCCATGTGGGGTCAGAGTGGCCAGCTCTGACCCCAGGATGGGCTCTGCAGCAGAGACCCAGGTCCCCGGCTCTCCCTGTGTGGGGCCAAGGTCTGGATGGGCCCTGATCCCATGAGGCCTTTGAGAGAGGGAAGCCTGGTGGTTAGGACAACAGCTGGGCTTCCAGTCAGCTCTGGCCCCTCAGTGGCCACCCATCACCTGACAGGCTGGACAAGAGCTCCATGCCTCAGTTTACCCATCCAGAAGGTGGGCTGCCTTGGGGCTGTCATGGGAAGGTGAGCCTGGTCCAGGGCTCAGGTGCATGAAGTCTTCCTGCCTTACGCGAGCCGGCGTGGCCGGTGGAGATGGTGTGAGATGACACGTGCTCATCTACCATGTGCCAGCGAGCCGGGGTCTCCGGGACAGACTTTTTTGTTTTAAAGTAAACATTTTTCACATAAGTTACCCTCAGGTGCTTATCAGGATACGAATAAAAATATAAACCACAGAGTCCACCCCTCTGTCCTTGTTTCAACAGTGTGCTGGGAACAAGGTGCTTGGCAGGTGGCTTAGCCCCTGGGAGCCCACGGAGACACAGAGCTGTCCTCAGAGCCCCTGTGGTCATGCCAAAAACACCCCAAACCTCCCAGAACACTGGCTCTAACAGACTCCTCTGTCCCTTGTGCTGATAAGGGGACTGCACCAGGTCTGAGAGACCCGGCCCTGACCTGAGGTAGAGCCCATCCCGACCTGGGGACACCCTGTCCTGACATGAGCCAGACCCCATGCTGACCTGGGGAGACCCCATCCTGACCTTGGGGACTCCCCGTCCTGACCTGAGGCAGGCCCCATCTGACCCGGGAAGACCCCGTCCTGACCTGGGGGAGACCCTGTCCTGACCTGGGGAGACCTCATCCTGGCAGCTGCACAAAATCCCAGCATTCGAGGACTCAGTGGGCTGCTCGGGCTCCAATGCTTCCTGGCGTCTTTCGCAGACCAAGCCTGACAGGTGAACAGCCTCCACCCATAGTTTTAGTTTCTGACTTAAAAGTCAGAAGAGGAGACCGCTGTAGGCCCTGAGTGGCAGGACCAGGGAAGCAGAGCCCCAGAGCTAACCCCGCTAGAGCTGGGGCTGCTGGGGCCTCCTCCCGGGAAGCTGCTCTCTGTGTGTGTTGTTTGGACAGAAAATGAACCCCAGAGCAGGGGTGTGCCTTGGTCAATGAACGTGTGAGGCAGGCGGGGCCCTGCAAGCCAGGTGGGTGATGGGCGACGGGGAGGGTGGGGGCGGTGGCTGCTCTCAGGACGACCGACCACCACCTGGGGTGAAGCCGTCCATCTCCAGGGAGGCCGCAGGGAGGGAATCTGGCCTGGGGGCCACTCCTGGGGCGACAGTGAGCCCCCCAAGCTGAATTCACAGCTTCCTTCAAAACCAGGGCCACTCTCCTAAAACCTGTGAATTATTAAGCAGGAGTGAAGGCCGAGACCCTCCTTCACTTGGCGTAAGTGACCAGCATTCAACAAGGCTCTGGCCTGCCGAGGGGGTGTGCGTGCAGAACCCTTCCCCAGCCACGTGGAACACCAACACGAAGCCACCCACCTGCTCCGTGGCTGTACTTCCGGGCTCCCCGGCCCCATCCAGAATCCCCTCAACAGCCTCTGGAATCCCGGGGTCTTGGCCTGCCTCTCGAGGGTCCTCGGGATGGGGTGGGGGGCTTTCCTCCGCAGGGCTGGGCGCCCCAGCCCCCCTGTCCCCGTCGTGGCCTGCGCCTTGAGCCCCTTCCCACTGGAGCTCAGGCTCCTGCTCCAGCCACAGCCTGGACTTGGGCTGTGCCTTGAAGCTGGAAAGGCCATTTCTCGCCTCCGGAAAGGCCTTCCTGGGGTCTGGAGGGAGGAATTCGGGTATGGGCAGCTGGTTTTTCACGCTGGTCAGCGACAGGCAGAGGGAGCTGGCCTCGGGGCCCTCGGGCAGGAGCCTGGGGAACGTCTGCACTTTCCTCAGGCGGCGACTCTCCAGGAAGCCTCTGTCCAGGTTACCCAGGGGGCACTGGGCGTCCAGGATGAGGCTGGCCAGCCCCTCCCGGCCGTGGCTGTCTCCGTTTTTCACAGGGGCTGACAGGAGAGGCTTTGAGGGAGGAGTCCCGGGGTGCTCTGGGCCGGTGCGGGCGGGGGTCTGGGGCAGGCCCTCTGGGGCGGGCAGGGCCTGCGGGTCAGCGCTTCGGTCTCCGGGCTGCCGCTTGGGCCCCACACTTCTTGGAGCAAGTCTCCCTCTCCAGGTGCTCTCGTCAACATCTGGGCAAAAGCAAGATGCAGCTGCTGTGGAGGCGGCGGCCAGGGACCCGAGCCCAGGATGGGCACCCCTGCAACCTGCCCCCACCCACGGCCACCTCTGACCAGCTCCTGTAGGAACCCGGGACCCCACCATCACCAAAGACCCTGAGCACAGGGCCTCCAGGATGGGGCTCCTCTCCTGCGCTTCCAGGCCCCCACCCCTTCCCTCAGTACCCAGAAACGTCCTCATCCTTAGTCACTTGGAATCCAGTTAATTAACGAGCCTCAGAAGGCTCCTGGGCCTCCCTCCCCCCACCAGACACAGCTTCCTACAGCGGTTCCCCAAGGGAGCCCTTGGCCTGTCTAATTATCTCATCCAAAAGCTCATCGTTGTTCTATTATAATTACACAAGGACATTCCCCAGAGGAAGAAATTAAATCTTGCTACAGCCCCACCCGGTCCCCATGCACAACCTTCCACACACACGTCTCCGTGGGAACCGCTCCAGCCGAGCACAGCCCATTTGTGGCCTTCGCCCCTCCCGCGGCAGCTCTGCTCTGCGCTGTGCCAACACCCTCCGTTGTGCAACACCCTCCGCTGTGGTTACCACCACGCGGCGTCACCTGGTGCCGTAGCGACACAAACTCTGACGCGGTCAGGTCGGAAATGCCCGCTCGGCGGGAGGGCCCTGCTGCCACCTAGAGGCTCCGCGCCTCCCTGAGGCCCCTCCAGGCTCATGCTGCAGGCACAGCACAGAGCAGACTTTGGCATTGGTTCAAAATGCGACCTGAGACTCCGCCAGAGCCCCACGTGAGTCATGGAAATCCCAGATGCTCCTGCAACCGCTTGTATGTTGGAGAAGGAAAGAGGCCTACAGACACCGTGTGGTGTCAGCAAACGGAAATGAACCGAGAAACATTCCCCTGTCTGTTCTGACATGCTCACAGACTAAGATGGAGATGACCAGCTGCATCAGTCATTTCTCAACGTGACCTTGACTCTCACCTCTAATCGAGTGGGTGTCTGCAAAACACGTACAGTATGACTGAACATGTGAGTGTGTGTACGCGTGTAGTGCCAATTTGTGCTCATGTTTCTACATATTTGCATGTGTGGGAGAGGGTGTACACGGTGTGCATGAGAGTGTGGGTGTGTGCTACGTTTGTACATGCATGTGCATGCCTGTGTGTGTGTAGTATAAATAGGTATGGATGAGTTTGCACATACATGTATGTTTATGTGTGTGACCGAGCGAGTGTGATATGTGAGTTCTTGTGGGGGCCCATGTGATTTGTTTGAACACGTGTGCGAGTGTGGGTTTTACATGGTGTGTGAGTCCACTGGTGTGAAATCTGTGTACATGGTCTGTGTTACTGTTTGTGCACATTCGCGTGTGCATGTGTATAAATGTGCACACATGTGTGCATGTGAGGGTGCACATATGTGTCTGTATATGCCTGTGAGTCTGTGCGTGTGCAAGCACATACATGTGCGAGTGTGCTTACCTTGAAACGCTCCAAAGGACTCGATGGAGAGCACCCTCCTCCCGATGGCCGAGAGGCTGCGGCACAGGCGGCAGGAGGACGTGAACTGCATCTTCTCTTTGCACAGTGCTATGATGCTCTGCAGACGCAGGGGAGTGGCTCAGACGGGGCGCTCACCGAGGAGGAAGCCCTGGCCTCTGAGAGCCCACCCGCCTGCCATGTCTATTTTCAGGTCTAAGAAAGCAATGCCTCTTGGATACAGAAAACCAGGACATTCTGTTTAGCCCATAAGAATTATAAGTCAAACTTCTTCATAACAAACATGTCTAATAAAAAAAATCAAGTTCTTATTTAAACAAAATGCAATGCCACCAAATCCCAGGCTAGGAGCCCGCGTGATTGGGGGGGGCAACAGGAGAGCCCCGTGTACATGCTGGGTGTTATGTGTGTGTGCACAAGGGCATCGGGGTGCATAGAGGGTCTCCAGTCTCAGCCTCTGGGGTGAAGCAAGGAGATGGCCGGCGAGCGTACCTCGAGGTCGGGCCGGTCCCTGGGGTCCTCCGCCTGCATCTGGCCCAGCAGCGCCTCCAGGTCGTGACTCAGCCTGGGCTCCGGCTCTGGCTCTGTCACATACTCGAGGGCCACCTTCAGTGTGGCCCCCAGAGAGTAGATGTGAGCCTGCGGCACCAGAGAGCCTGTTAGTGCTGTGGAGCACGCCGAGTGGTCTCCGACCAGCAGCCCCTGTCCCCACATGGCTGCCGCTCCTCTGAACATGCGTTTTCAGGGACCACATCTGCAAGCACGGCCAAGGCAGCGCCTCCCCACCGCAGAGACGCTCCAGGCTAAAGCACACCGCCCTGCGCTCCCTGGTCTGGGGTCCGTGCTGGCCTGGCTGCACCAACCAGCGCCTCTCCCAGAGCCCCAGCCCCACCCAGCCTCCCGGGGCACAGACTCCTGTCCTGACGGCTGCCGTGACTCTGAAGGGCAGAGCCTTTTCTTTTTCAGGTGTATTCTTCAAAAACTGAATTTGAGTAGGAGGAAAGACCGATTTTCTTTTAGTTTGGAAGTTAGAGTTTTCCTATCTGCGTTCATGAGCGTGTGGGCTCTTCAGGTTGCACACGCTGGGACAGGGGCACAGGGCAGGCCTCGGCCACAGGTCCCGGAGGGGCGGACAGTGGCTGCTGTCACTCCCCGGGGCCAGGTGGCGTCACCTGCCCTCATGGCGCCTCCCCACCTCATCCCACGACAGTGCATGTGGGGCTTTATCATCCCCCCTTCATTGACAGGAAGCTGAGCCCAGAGAGGTTCAGGAACCGGCCCAGGGCCTCACAGCCAGGCTAGGAGGAGCCAGCGAGGGCCCTGGGCCGTATGGCTCCGGAGAGTCAGGTCACACAGCTCGCAGTGGAGGCCTGGGCCCTGACTGAAGGCCAGGCTCTCCCCGTCTTCCTTCCCCGGCACTCCCTTCCCCAGGACACCTTGGTCTTTGGTGCACACTCTGGTCCAGGTGAACACCCCATCCTCAGCCAGACCCAGCATGACTGAGTGGTGGGATCCTGGACGGTCCTGGCTCTCTTCCTGGGTGGCCTCATGATCTGCCAGTGACGTCCCACCTCCCCTGATCCCATGACCCTCAGACCCGGCCTTCCCAGTCTGTTGTGAGGTCTAGGATGACCAGCTCTCTCTGGCTCTGCAGGACTATCTGGTTTTCACTGGCTGAGATCCCCCTCTCTGGATTCATCTCTCTGCCAGGGTCTCTGTCTGAGGAGCTGGGCACGTGGGGGTCCATGCCCTCCCTCTGTGCTGGCCCTCACCACTCAGAGTGTTTTCTATGTTCTGCCGGTTAACCCACGCTTCAGTGGGGTCTTTATGCATCCATGTTACCTTCCAGAGGCTCCATCCCCACAAACAGGACCCAGGTCCCGGGTTACAACCATTTACATTTGGATAGCTGCTGACAAACTGGAGGATTTGCACCTGCCCCCAACCCCGAGGTCTCTGCGGCTTTGCCAGTCTCTTAGGGGAAAGTAGCGTCTCAGGTTAATTTGCATTGCTATAATTATGAATGAGACCGAGCATCTGTTCCTATTTGCCGTTCTGATTTTCCTCTCTACGCCCACTCACGGACTTGGCTCATTTCTCCACTGAGCTGGTGCCTGTTTTGGGTGCACTCTTGGCACATTAGGGGGCCGACCCCTGGTTGGTGTGTCACCCATATGTTCTTTCCACCTGTCCTTACCTTTTAACTCTGTTCATGTGTCTTTGACATCAAAAATTACATTTAATTTGTGAAATGGGATAATTTTTTTCTTTAGTGGCTTTTTAGAAGGCCCATTCCTACCCTAAGATGATAAAAACAGCTTTTTTTCCATTTCCTCCAATATTTTTATAGTTTTTAAACATCTAGCTCTAATCCATGTAGAATCTGTCTGCGTGCTGAAACGCTGTTGGGACTGGGATTGTTTCCCTCCTGCTGGAGAGCAGCCTCCTGGCGCCGTTAGAGGAGATTCCCCTCTGCCGGCCAGGACCGCTGCCCCACTGCGCTTGGCTCCCCAAGGGCTGGGCGCTGTCTGGCCTCTCCTCCTCTTAGCTGCTCTGCACGTCTCTCCCTCTGGGCAGACTGTGCTATTTTAGTCATAACAGCTTCAGAGGGTATTTTCATATCTGGATGACAAGCTGCCCTTCATTTTTTTTTTCAAGAAGTTTCTTTATTTTGACATTTGTCAGGTTTTGAAAAACAAATGTAAGTTCCCCTATTCCCATTCAAAAAGCAAACCAAAAATCATTGGGATTTTATTGTAACTCCATTGACATTGCAGAATTTGGGAAGGACCAATGTCTTACAAAATAAAATACTTAAGACATCAGCAAGATGGCCACATAAGACGTCCCTATATGGTGTCTCCCTCAACAACAATTTGGATCTATGCACGGACAAAAGTACCTTTGGGATCCAGCACCACACGCCAAGGGACCTGGCAGGAGTCTCGCCCACCTGTGGTCAGATAATAGGCAGGCAGACCTCTGCCCTGGCTGTGGACCCTTTAGCTAGACTAACTAGGAAAAAAAGAGAGGACTCAAATAAACGAAATTATAAATGAAAGAGGAGACATTACAACTGATACTGCAGAAATACAAAGGATCGTTAAGAGACCACTGTGACAATTATATGCCAAGAAAATGGATAATCCAGAAGAAATGGATAAATTCCTAGAAACAGACAACCTACCAAGACTGAACCCTGAAGAAACAGAAAATCTGAACAGATCAATAATTACTAAGGAGATTGAATCAGTATCAAAAACCTCTCAACAAAGATACGTCCAGCACCAGATGGTTTCACTGAATTCCACCAAATGTTTAAAGAGGAATTAATGCCAGTCCTTCTCAAACTCTTTCAAAAATTGATGAGGAGGGAGCCCTTCCAAATTTATTTTATGAGGCCAACACTACCCGATACCAAAGCCAGATGAGGACACTACAAAAAAAGAAAACTACAGTCCCATATCCCCGATGGATATAGATGCAAAAATTCTCGACAAAATACCAGCAAACGGAATTCAACAGCACATTAAAAGGATCATACACCATGGTCAAGTGGGATTTATCTCTAGGATGCAAGGATGGTTCAACATACGCAAATCAATCAATGTTACACATCACATTAATTGAAAGAAAAAAATGATGTGAACATCTCAATAGAAGCAGAAAAAGCATTTGACAAATTACAACATCCTTTCATGATAAAAACTCTCAACAAATTGAGCATACTAGGAACATATCTCCACATAATAAAGGCCATATATGAGAAGCCCACAGCTAACATCATACTCAGTGGTGAAAGGTTGAGGGCTTTTCCTCTAAGACCAGGAACAAGACGAGGGCACCCACTCTCACCACTCCTATTCAACATGGTACCAGAAGTCCTAGCTATGGCAATCAGGCAAGAAAAAGAAATAAAAGCTATGCAAATTAGAAAAGAAGAAGTAAAACTGTCACTATTTGCAGACAACATGATCTTATATATAGAAAAATCCTGTTGTGAGTGTCATTGAGTGGTTTCCGACTCCTAGTGACTGTGTGGACAGCAGAGCAGAACCCTGCCCGGTCTTTTTGCGCCATCCTCTCACCCTCTGGTGCTGTATCAGACAACACTCCGCTGCTATTCACAGGGTTTCATGGCCAATTTTTTTGGAAGTGGGTGGCCAGGTTCTTCTTCTTAGTCTGTCTTATTCTGGAAGCTCCACTGAAACCCGTCCACCATGGGTGACGTTGCTGGTATTTGAAATACCAGTGTCATAGCTTTCAGCATCACAGCAACATGCAGCCACCACACTGTGACATCTGACAGATGGGTGGTGTGGTTCCCTGACCAGGAAACAAACCTGGGCTGTGGCGGCAAGACTGCCGGATCTTAACCACGGGTCCACCAGGACTGGCTATAGAAAATCCTAGACTTCACCAAAAAACCTGTTAGAACTAATCAATGAATCCAGTAAAACTCCAGGATACAAAATCAGCATACAGAAATCATTTGCATTTCTTTTTTTTTTTTGTGAGGGAGACTAGCCCTGAGCTAACATCTGTGGCTAATCTTCCTCCTTTTGCTGAGGAAGATTTGGCCCTGAGCTAACATCTGTGCCAGTGTTCCTCTAGTTTTTTTTTATATATGGGACTGCCACAGTGTGGCTTGATGAGCAGTGCATAGGTCCATGCCCGGGATCTGAACCTGCGAATCCCGGGCCACCAAAGTGGAGTGCACAAACTTAACCACTACACCACTGGGCTGGCTCCCATTTGCATTTCTATACACTAACAATGAAATATCTGAAAAAGAATCAAAGAAAACAATCTCATTCACAACAGCATCCAAAACAATAAAATAACTAGGAATAAATTCAACCAAAGAGATGAAAGATCTCTACACTGAAAACTATAAGACTTTGATGAGAGAAACTGAAGAAGACGGAAATAAGTGGAAAGATATCTCGTGCTCACGGATCAGAAGAATTAATATTGTTAAAATGTTCACACTCCCCAAAGCCATCTATAATTGAACATAATAATCTATCAAAATTCAAAACAATACTAAAATTAGTATCAAACCACAAAAGATCCCAAACAGCCAAAGCAATCCTGAGCAAGAAGAACCAAGTTGGAGACACCACACTCCCTGATTTCAAACTACACTAGAAAGCTATAGCAATCAAAACAGTTGGCACTGGTGCAAAAATAGACACAGAGATGAATGTAACAGAATTAAGAGCCCAAACTAAACCCATGCATATATGGTCAATTAATATTTGACAGGTGCCAAGAACATACAATGGGGAAAGGATATTCTCTTCACTAAATGGTGTTGGGAAACTGGGCAGCCATAGGCAAAAGAATGAAACTGGACCCTATCTTACACCATACACAAAAATCAACTCAAAATAGATTAAAGACTTACATGTAAGACCCCAAAGTGTAAAACCACTAGAAGAAAACATAGAGAAAAATCTCCTTGATCCTGGTCTTGACAATGATTTTTCAGATGTGACAAAAAATTGCAAAAAGTGCAAGCAACAAGAGCAAAGATAAACAAGCGGGACTGTATCAAGCTAACAGCTTCTGCAGAGCACAGGAAACCACCAACACAATGAAAAGGCAAGCTATCGAATGGGGGAAAATATTTGCAA